TATTAGTATTCTTAAAGAACAAACGCCCAACATACAAAAGTTCCCTAACCCGTCCTCTATTCCTGCAAAATAATTAACATGAACAGACACTTTATGAAAGATCTCAAAGAAGCCCCTCGATGGTGTTAATATGTGATTCCCTTTTTAATAATCTGCACTGATCCTTAAAATGAACCAGTCTTAAATGATTTTATCATTACTCCTGCATATGTTCGCTGAACATTCACTTCAAGTGCCTTGACGTCTAATATACATATAGACTTGACGGGTGGACGCAATCTAGTAGTTGTCTCAAGCAAATAAAATTCAGCAGATATAAGTACTGAGTCATCACTTTCAGAAGAAACAAGCGTCTAAAGCCAAAGCTGAAACTAGCACATGGACCGTTGTACTTATATTTACTTTTGTCATATGAGAGGACAATAAAATAAATATCAGACGGTTTGTCGCATAGTACGGGAAACAGGTGGGGCCGTGGTCGTTGCGTAAAATGACTAGACGTTTCTTCAGTCAACATAAAATTAAAAATGTATTACCTCTATAAAATGAAGAAGTCATATACCATTTTACCGATAATGTCTTATTGAATACAGAAGACTATCGATCAACTTTTAACCAACAAACACAGTACCTAACAGTATTGCACATATTTGTAGTGACCTACTTCTATCAAGAGAACGCGATTGGTGTAATGGAAAAAAGTATTGTTATAACCAATTGTATAAGGGATTGTTTTACCGTAATTGTTTGTTTAACTGCACCAAAAGACATACATTCTTCCGTTGATTGTGACCTTGCACGAATTCGGTTACGCTCAGTAACCACACTTATAACCTGTCACGATCTCGGTATTCTTTCGATACCACGAGTTCGCCAACAAATACATCTCGACTACAGCCAACAACTGACTTCTGATATTTGGCCTACGGGGGATCTTATCAGTTAACTGGCACGTAATCTTCTTGTAGTGGTGATCATAGTCAACCGCGACTTGACGCCACACTACATATCAGTTACAATAATGTACTTTGAAGATGTCTGTTCATAGGGAAGATCGAATTCTTACAACGTTAAAGTGATATACATGTTGTAACATACATTTTCCATAGAAACATGGAAAACCATTTTGGTGAGTAAGAATATTGTAAGTATTAGTAAACTTGGAACTCCGCCTGTAGCTCATCTAGGGCTACTGCATTTCTGAAGCCCAAACAACAGAGGAGGGTTGGGTGTGATGTCATCATCCCCATCTTGTAAAAATACTCTTGCTAAAAAAGGCAACCAGAATAAACAAATTAAACCACCTAAACTCCCAATGTAAGCCACTTATTCAGAGAGTATATAATTGAAGGACAAAGAATGAAAGAACATCACTGAGATTCAAGAACAAAGGAGCACATGGGTAGAACACTTTATGGAAGTTTTGAGCAGACCAGCTCCATTGGTTCCGGCGAATATCGAATCAGTACACAAAGACATTCCTGTAGTTGTCACACTACCAAAGATCGAAGAAACCAGGCTGGCCATCGGGCAAATCAAGATTGGGATGGCCGCAGGACCTGACAATATACGGTCTGAAGCACTGAAGTCAGATAAAGAATTAACTGCAAAAATGCTGCACATTCTATTCGAGGAGGTTAAGTAAAGAGAAATGTGTCGACAACAGGAAACATTTTCAACCAAGAGTTATTATACTGGATAAGTAATTCAGTTGACATTCAACCTCGAGATCAACAGACCAGATGGTGACACTACGGATCATGTTTGAACAATCAAATGAATTTACTTCGTGACTGTACATCAACTTCCTTGACTATGAAAAAGCATTTGATTGCGTGGACATGAGAATGTCATGGAACCTTCTTCGACGCTATGGTGTTAGCAGCAGAACATATGGAACTCAAAATAACTGTCAACCAATGTCAATTTCAGAATCTTCACTACGAACGTCAAGACACTTCTACTGTATGGAGATGAAAGTTGAAGAACATCATCAAAAAGGCACAAGTGTTCGTGGACAATTGTCTACAAAAGATACGAAATGTCCGTTGGACAGGTATCATCAGCAACAGCCTATTGTGAGAGAGAACAAAGCAGCCTCCAGATGAACAAATAACTAGGAAAAGACGTCGGAATTGGATGGACATACATCATGAGAATTACCAAACTATATCACGAGGCAAGAGCTAACTTGAAAAAAAACGGAAACGTGGAAGGCCAAGGAACACATTGCGTTTGGAATTGAAAGCAGACATGAAAAAAGATGAATAGCGACTGGAAAGGATTGTCCAGGGAGGAATTGGATAGAAGGTGTTTATGGGTGACGTATGCTCATCCTCGATAGGTAACAGATGTATGTAATTAAGTAAACCTCTTGTGTAATATGTGAATTTGGGGTGGCTTTTAGATGCTATAAAATTAAACTGGATTCCGAAAAATAAAGCAACCAAGGTGCAGAGTTGTTTGCAATGTAAAACAACACATAACTGTTCGGCAAATATACTATTATTAATATGAAGTAGTGTTTTATTTTGGCATGTCAAGCTAATGTTATGAATCACAATTTACATCATGAGTCGGCAACTAAGACATTTCCTCCGGTGGGATATTAACAGGGTCGAATCAGTCAGATTTCTCAACTAAATATTTAAAGCGATATAGAAACGAATAATTGAATAAATTTGTGTGGTAGAATTGTATCATAAGTTGAGTATTTCTTCCAAAGCATCCTTAACAGAAACTATCTTACAAATGGTGACGTTGAAGGACGTATATATGGCAAACGTTCAGGTAAATGATACATGGCTGCTGGCTGTAAATATATAAAAGATGGAAACAAGGTGGAGCAACAAGACAAATGACCATGAAGCCTATTTCTTCAGAATGGAATAAATTGATGAATGTTTACTCAGCAGAAAGGCTTTTAAATCTTCTCTAAAGGTAGAGCGAAACATCCATAAAAAAACTACAGACATGTAGTGGTACTGGTCCTAACCACACGATCTTCACATCTGAACATGATATAACTGGGAAAATAAAAATTCAACATTTGACACAGTGAGAAAGCCAACAGTAGTGAACGCAGGAATATTCATGCATTCAACCAGATACCATGGCTCAGCCTCGCAGACGTGGTCATTCCGTACAACTTGTCTTTATTCACATTAAATATATTATACAATCTTCAAGCTTCATACTGTTAATTGTTACGATACGAGGAGTCAGCGTAGACAATGATGTGACTTACAAGTAAGCTGGTGGGTAGGTAGGTAGTCACATTTATGACAAATCTAGAATTTTAAGATTAGGTCCATCATTATAGCGGTACTAATAAAGAACTTAGACCTTAATCCTACAGAATAATAAAAGTAACCAAACAAAAAGTTTGGTGAATTGTAACACAGTAGAGCAGGTCTGAAGTAACATAGGAATAGCAGATGTTGCACGCCCTACCGATTTACATTGTGCCTACAAGTACCGTGTTACAAACCAACCAGACAGCTAGAACATTTATCATGTGCTAAATGTTCATGTAGTTGACTAAAGTCATAAATTATAAGATTACGACCACATGATTAATAAGTTGAGAAAACGTATGCAAAAACAGTGGACCATGACTAATCACGAAAAGCGTGTGATTGCGATTTTAAAGTAAGTAGAAATCAAAAAGAATATATCGCCTCATTGAAAAAGTGGTTCAAACTCAAACGGACGTGAGGATAGGAACTGTCGATCAAGAACTTTAACCATTGGGTTTTGTGAGGGAGAACCATTGTGTATCCCATCACATATTTAAATAAAAACAGAAAAGCCACATATTCATGAAGTCACTAGTTTGCCAATGAATTAAATTGGACGATAAGCGGTCCATAAAGAAGATTTCCTGGATTGAATGAGAAATCTAGGGAAGAAATTAACAAAACCTCTTACAATCTGATAACCGGGTTATTATTATCATTAAAAACTAGTGACAGAAGCACAATTACCTATAAATAGTGGAAACCTATCCCACAGAGAACTGCATCATACAGGGAATACTATGTGAAGTACTAGTTTCTAACATTTAAAGCTGATAAGATAGACACACTGATGGATATCACAGCAATAGAATAATAAAATCTCCATTCTCAAATCCATACCGACGGACTTTCGAAAAGCTTGGAATGACAGTGAAAAGATTGTAATAGCATTCTTGATTTGGAAAACGTTCATCGCTCAATCGACTCACAGTACTCTTTGATACACACATTTCTCAGAAGCGGTCGTATTTGGCATCTAGGTGGCAATTAGTGGCGAATCAATGTAAAAACCAACTAGGACACGTACCTTTAACCGAACTTCCGCGACCGAACGGCTATCCTGACAGATATTATCATATCTCCTCAAAATGACGTCGACAAACTGGATTTATACAACTGCTAAAGGCTTTTCTAAAACAGTAACAACAATCCTTGCTGTATTTTTTTGTTGACGACGGAAAATATTTTCAACTTCTTAATCAGATCTTGTCATAAAATTACCAGCCGTATGAAACCTAGTGACATTTATAAAGATCACGTAACATTTCGCTATGTAAATCATCAACAGTAAATATATAGATTATCGAATCTCTTTGAAAAGGATATTTAACGTCATGTTAAAATCTGTAGTCTAGAAATCAAGTGTTCGGACAGACATATTAAACAAACAGCTTATCGTTACCTGAGCTTACATTCTGGAGATTAATAGAGTAGTGCGCTTTATGTACTTCAGAATGTGCATAAGAAAAGACGGATAGCCAATCACATATAGACAAGTGCATGTCCCATTGTATAATAAAAGTTACAATACTAAAATTAACGAGAAACAATGAACTTGGCAAGCCACTCATCTTTGTTGAAGAATAAATTTCGCAGTTCTAGTGGTTTTTTGTTTGCCACGGTAAATTTCAACTAGTGTTGAATTACTTACCTACTTACGATGAATTTGTTTTGATAGGTTAATTCATCACTTTTCTGCGCGAGTTCATGAACAGGACTTTTGAAATAGTCGTTCGTTTCCAATATGCTGGTTACCTGTATATCAGAAGATAAGAATAGTGTGAATATCCAGTTCGATCAGGATAAGGCTATTGAAGAAATTTGTGTTGCTTGCAACAAGTGTGTCTCACTAAAATTATTTAATTTGTTATTGAAGTGTTCAAGCTACTGTTCGATTCCTTACATATGAAGAAGTATCACATGGACTCACAGAAACGCTGGACTTCGTTTACAATTCCGACGTTCTAATTGTTGATATGAGTGACAAGGTTCGGAGAATGAATACGTAATTTCATTGTTTGTACATAGACACAACAAGGACATTTGAATTATCAATTAGGAGTTAGAGAAAGTTTAAAACTGTTCGATAATATAGTAATCGTCAATCTTTCGAGTCATATTTTGCTTGATGACCTACGCGTATGTTTTAATCTTTATTTAACTTGTTTTAGAGTATTTTAAGTAGCAAAACGAAACTTCTTCCATATGTTATTAACGAAAATGGATTTGCTGTCTTAGTGGAAGATAAGTTCCTACAGAATGCCCTCATTGATAATGACATACTCAAAAATCAAATATGCGGCGATCTTGGGCGTTTGTCTGAAGAGCTAGAGGAAATACTTTCAGAAATGTGCAGTGGTGACCGGTAAGTTCTCCGAAAATATTTTTTAGACTAATTTTAGACTAGCGCGTGATAAAATTAGACTTAAAACATATATTCTAGTCAGCAAGAGTACATTCATGCTTTCACAGCTCATGTCAAGCATACTCCTTACAGGAAATTGCTCATAATGTCTTTATACATAAGTTGATCATGCCTCTAGACATCGTGTCATCCATCAATTTGTATGCTGCAAAACTGATAACTCATACTTCAGAAAGGCACTTTGGTACCTTAAAGGTAGACAAAACTTAGCGAGTCGTGTCCACATACATCTTTCTCTAACCAGACATTGCATGTTTACAAATATCATTATAAGTACATTCTATAAGTTCATGTTTTTAAATAGTAGACTGACCGAGATAACTCTCAATCTGAATCTTGAAGGAAGTTTATTAAAATAAACAAACATGCCTTCACTTCAGTGTTTTTATTGCGAAAAAAATCAAACCGTCGATGAGTTTGTAATAATGCTCGTGAAATGAAGGCGATTCAAACCCATCTTGCTAACTAATGTTGGGAAAACATTTTTTCGAAACACAAAAATTCTGATAAATTCGACGTTTTCTCAACTCTCAAAAATTGATTCGACCGGCTTACAGCTTATAAAATATATTGTGTCAAATTTGTACAAAAAACAGAAATCCTGACCATATTCTACATTTCAATCATAAAATAACACTAAATTACCTATGTGACAGATATCCAGTTTTAAATAAATTGAACAAAAATTTTATCTATGATAGCTTGTCTATGAATTTATCAATACATCCAATAAGTGTATAAAAAAACTTTTCGTACAACCGCTGTAAAAAAACCCGTTATGTAATGGTATTTGATAGCTGAACAACAACGTCTAGTTCACCAAAGACGTAAAAGGGCACACTCAACAATTTTAATTAAGTCTATAAGCGACAAGTTAAACAACTCAGTCACATACCAGTACGTTACATATTTTTTGTTTGAAAATCGCTCTATAATTTTGCTAACTGAAAGCGAAAGGTCATCTAAACTTTCTAACCACTAAAATACACTTATCATTAATATATTTATGAATAGCGAACATATAATGCCTTAATTTTTTTTGTTTTCAAGGGCTCCACTAAAAGATAAATTCATTGAGGATCTTCGAAGGGATCGCGATTTGTACAAAGGGCAAGAACTCAGAGAGGTTAGTGTATTGCTTACAGAAAAGAGTATTTTAATGGAAATACACAAACCAACAATACTGAATAGGACTCGTTTGTAGTTTTAAGTTGTGCAACAACTAGATGTTTACGTTAATCAAAAACCATTACTTTGAAAAACTAGGTCACCAAATATAACATAATTACAGGTCATAATATATTTTAATCGGCAACAGGATGCAAATTAATATCATTATATTTTATCATCAATAATGAATGTAAGATCTCTTAAAATATAAATCAACCTAAGTCTCTCTCAGGTAGAAAAACAATAACTGTCTGTGCATTTTCACCTTTTTATCAAATTCTTTAATATTCTCGTTGCTTCATCAAGCCTTGATCAGTAATAATTTGACACTTCTTAACAGCACTTTAAAACGCTTCCTTTGATGTCTTAATGAAAAGAAATCTGCATAATAAACGTAGTTTTCACGATGGACGCCTATCTCTCATAAACATTAGGGAATAATTATGGACTTTAAATAAACCAATGAGTTTATAAGTCACAGCTAGATGATAGTGGCTTTACTACAAGATACTGATTATAAAAGTTTGGTTACTAGTTATTTTAAACTTCAAGATGATCAACATACCGTTATATCAATGAAAGAATTAGGAACGTTATTCGATAATTCATTTTTAGTCCGAATCGTTTGTTGCAATGAGACAAGCACAGATTTTATGCAACACTTGGCAAATTAAAAACTAAGTTTTCCCAGTGTTCTTCAAGAAAGAGATGATGGTTCATAAAGCGTACAAGTAAAGTTGATTACGGAAATAACACTGGCGTGTGAATTTAAGAGAACATTGCTTCGAAAAATTATTTGAAGCGCAGGAAACAATTTGTATCATGCAAAGAAAAAATTGTTTTGTCTGAATTTGAGCGTAACATATTACTTAATTACTTCTGCTACCCCCGCCATGGATCATAGGCCGCTGACCAGCGTTCTCCAACCCACTCTGTTCTGAACCTCCCTTTCTAGTTCTATCCAACTGTTGTTCATTCTTCTCATGTTTGTCTCCATTTCTCGACGTAATGTGTTCTTTGGTCTTCCTCTTTTTCTTTGGCCTTGATGTTTGTTCTCTCCCACAATAAGTTGCTGCTGATAATGTCTGGTCAACGAGTCTGAAGTATTTTGCGTAAACAACTATTAATAAACACTTGTATCTTCTGGATGACGGCTCTCTTAGTTCTCCAGGTTTCCGCCCTATACAGTAGTACCGTCTTGACATTTGTATTGGAAATTCTGATTTTGGTGTTGGTTGACAGTTGTTTTGAGTTCCAGATGTTCTTCAGTTGTGGATATGCTGCTCTTATTTTGCCGATTCGCGCCTTCACGTCTGCATCAGATCCACCGTGTTCATCAATGATGCTGCCCGAATATGTAAAGGTTTTTACATATCCAAAAAGTTCTCAGTCAAGTTTGATTGTTGCATGATGTGTTGTATCAGAGAATCTTGCTTTTTCCTTTGTGTATGTTGAAACGTACTGCTACTGAGGCTGCTGCTACACTGATTGTCTTTTCCTGCATTTGTTGTCGCGTGTGCGACAGAATTGTTAGATCATTCTTGAAGTCTAGATCATCCAGCCCTATCTTAGATGTCCACTGCATCCCATGCTTCCCTCCAGATGTTGACGTTTTCATGATGTAGTCGATCACCTGACACCGGTCTTTACTTCGAACGAGTCTGTGAGCTGTAATCTATGCACGATTTTCCATCATAGGAATTCCGTACGATACTGACTATTTTCTCAGGCACGCAATAGTGTCGAAGAAGCTTCCATAGTGTTGTCCTGTTCACGCTATCAAATGCTTTTTCGTAGTCAATGAAGTTGATATAGAGTGATGAATTCCGTTCAATTGACTGTTCCACAATGATCCACAGTGTTGCCAAACCCTCCTTTATCCGAGCTTGGGACCTGCAGTAGCGTAAAAGGGGCTTTAGGCGGAATTGTGCGTAACATCAGCCTAGATTAAGAAATTTTTCTGAACCATAATTTGAAAAATATCGTACTCATTGGCTATTAATCATTTAACAGCACAAAAGAATGATCAGGATTTTAGAGTATGAAAACGTGAAGATACATACCTGTGAGCAATAAGATTATTAAACCTTACAGTGACTCAAAAACTGATAGAACTAATTTTTTTATTATTCTGTTATCATTGTAATCAGTAAGGTACTGAAAAAGTGTCTGAAAATACAACAGAAATAGACAATACCCATCGTTCAATATACTACAAATAATAAATTTATAACATATACACGCATCGCACAATGTAATTCACTAAGACTATGATTTGTACAGAAAAGGCAGACAAGGATTAATAGGCGCTGTACTATTAGGACTGTTTAATATAATGTAGGCTGATTTCCCAAGCTGCAACAAATTATTCGTGTTTAGTATAGTGTGAAGAATTTATGCTAGTGAAGATTAAACAAATTAAAGGAGTCCATTATAGCTAATCAAATGAAAACAGATGATTATTGAGCCATAAATGAAATTTAAATGAGCTTACAGGTTCACTCAAGCCAAATGTATGAATGCAGCTGGTTTGTATTTACAAGCCATTTTTCTGAAGTAACTTAACTACATAAACAAAAATAAATAGACAATTATTACTAAAAATATTTAATATATAATAAATGTGAGTGCATACATGACCGAAAAACTGAATTAATTTTCACTCAAATTTTAGTGTCAAATCATCCGTTACATTTTATACTATTTTAAAATTTATATCCACTAGTCATGTAGGAGAATTCATTGATTATATCACAGATATTTGTAGTTTTATATTAAAGTCTAATGTGAGGTATAAAGTTACTATTGAACAATGGAAAAACATGAACTGCCTGACAGGTTTTCTCATGAGCTCTGTAGCGACCGAACACCAAATAAATCTACTCATAATCTAAACGCTGTCACATTTCAATCAGCCTGAAAGGCGGTAATATGTACCTCAAATAATGTGAATAAGGGATTCCGACATGGACTTTATCTCTTATTTATTTTCATTACCAACAAATAAAACACTAATAAACTAAATTCACTTGATGTTGTTTTATTTGCATCTTCCCATTGTTATTAGGACTACAATTGATCAGTCTCTTGTTGACATATACGCATCCTGTGCGGATTGCCTTGGTATAGACTACATCGAGGCAATCTGCATAAGAATGTGTGTGTCAGTCAATAATGTATTATTCAAAAGCTCTCTGATATTTATTCATCGATGGATCACTTAAAAACTGAAAGAATTCTGGCCTCGCGTTAAAATCCGGAAAATAAACACTGTCCACTTTTAGTATGTATCAAAGAGCCGACAGAATACAAACTTAATAAATTAGTGATTATTCCTATTATTATTCAAAGCCTTGTTTTCATAAACGGCTCCTAACTTTTCATGAATATTTTGGCAGTTTAGTTTATTTATAACTAACAATCTTAGTGTCTCAGTCCACGTAGTTATTAGACAGATGACTTTAAAATCTATTAAATACCATTTATTCCCTTATGCAAAAACTTGAGTTTTACTCCAATGCTTTTACGCTTTATTATTTACACTGGTACTCTGGATGGCGTTCTGAAAACAACGTAACAACAATTAAAAAAGTAATATAGCAAAATTAAATCAGCTCCAAGTCTTTGGTCACATCAGATTTATGGGTCAGACAATGTACTAACTTCGTATCTACGGTAATATTTGCTACTGTACATGACCACAGACAAAATAAAAGATTGAAAAATGATGGATTTATATCATATTCGTTGTTTAATACAACTATGAAACTTTTATGTATATAGTCGAACTATCAATATTAGGACTACTTTGTACAGTAAATGGCAGTTGATTATGAACATCATAAACTTAATAACTCTTACTCCAAATAAGTCATTTTTGTAATGGTTACTTGTAACTATTGTTGCAAACGCAACGAAAATCATAGATATTATAAGAAACGAAAATCTCTAATACCGAAAATGTTTTGTATGATAAGCTAATAATCATATAATTGTTTTACGTGAACAGCAATCAATCAGTATTAGATTAAATTAATTAAATATATGCAGTCGATAAATCAGAATTTATGAAATTAGAACTGTGTGTTTAAAGGTACTTGAAAATGCTGAAGAAACAAGTCGAAATTGGCGCTGGAAAGTTGCTAAGATTGCGACCCATTTAATTAGTGACCTAGAACTACAAACTATTCTAAATTTTCCTTTCTTCCTCTTTAGTTATAGTTGCTGCGATACTGAATGAATTGATTTTGATATAGTCTAGATGTGTCTTGCTAAAACGCCTGAAATGATTAGTATGTATTTCATATCATATATGTATAAGGTACCATCTTAGTAGATTAAATCATATGTCTTTCTGTATGTCTCAGTATTCTAACCAAAATAATATTCAGTATTTAAGTACACCTAAATGTTTTTCATGACTTTTCCATTCCACTTTGTTGAAAACCTACTGAAAGACAAAAAACGGTATGTCTGGTCAAGGTTTCCTGTTACATTTTGTTCCCGAATATTAGATATATTCATCATATGGCTCCACTACATCGCTATCCAAAATCTGGAAGCTGACTACATTTTCTAAAAAGTAAAATATTTATTTCAAAAACATTTTAATTAATATCTGAATTCTTTCATTTTACAAAGAAGTTTATGGTATGAAAATAAATTCACGACAAACAGAATAGTTAACTTGAAATAGTGAAAACTTGATCAGTTTGAATGATATTAGTGAATACAATAATGCAAAACTAACTAGAGCAGATGGATGTGAATGATAGTTATTTAAAAAAACTATTTGCGCATAAACTGACGATACTAAGGTAATAATAGGCAGTGTTTATTACATAAAACGTAATAATTTATCTATGAGCTTTCGAACGAAAGTAAATCTATAAAACGTCAGTTGACTTTCATAGTAGACATGGATTAGTACTGTAAAGTGAAAATTTAATAAACTTTATTCGAGAAGAATTTCTCATAAAATGAATGCTAAACGGAATAACTAATATAATCGCGATCTTGCAAAGTCTCATCAACTGATATATCTTTAAGTTACTGGGGGACGTCATAATCGATTTTCTGAGATTATTATTCTAAATTTTATAATAACTTATAGTAATCAGAATTATACACATGAATAATATCTGTCGAATTTCAATTCGTGAGTTTTTATCATTTGATCCTATTCAAATAATTTTAAATGATCTCAGTAAATGGCAATGAATCTTTTTCCTCCTTTATGTTAACTAAAACAAACAATTTTTAATTTACCTGTCTTTATTTCTTTCAGCGTCTTCGAGTAATGCGCCGTAGATTGGATTATCCAGGGATGCTTTCATCGGATGTTATTCTTAATCTGTTACTATCATACAGGCAGTGCGAGGTATAAATATTTAGAAAAATAACCAACTTATATTAGAGAGAAAAAACTAACGAGTTGGTTTGCTTACTAGTCATACAATGTCAAATAAAACAGATAGTATGAGATTTAAAACATTTCTTTGAAATCTGTTTGTGAACGAACAAATAACATAATGTATTCAGCTCGCAAAATTGCAATTAAGCTGCATTATAAGTGGTTAAAACACGTAAGAAACCAGGCCTTAAACGCAGTGTTTTCATTCGATTTAGTCTGTAATCTATCAACCACGTTTGGGAGATGTCTGATGAAGAAATGTAATTGATGTTCATATTGTTTCATCACATTGTCAAAATGGCAATATCTAATTCACTGTAGAATCTCAGCAGCAATAGGTCGCAGAAATGACATTTTTATTGATATGCAATGTAATTGTGTAATAATATCGTTCTAAAGAAATGTTCTTTTTCAGTAAGCGGTGATTTGTACTATTAAGTAATAACACAATGTCTGAAATGACATTTCGGTATTCATTTGATCCATATATTTTGAATTTTGACTAAGCAGATTCCAGAAAATAGAACTACTGGCCAACTGACTTAATATATTAAGACATTCATTCATCCAAAGAGTTTAACTAAAGTAGTACAACCGAGTTACTTATCAGAAAGAAAATGATCATTTAGTGATGCATTAAAAGCATTAGATGATCTAAATCATATTCTCTCGTCTTATCATTTATTTCATTTGGTTTCACCAGTGTATTGTTGATGTGGCTAAAAACTTTGATTTTCCTGATACACTCGTTATTCTAATTGTTGGTTGAAAATCAACTATTTTTTCATTTGATCACAGTTTGAGACAACAGTATTGTTTAAACTAGTGCCTAATTATATCTAAGTTTGTATTTTGGTGGTGAGTCACTAGAAAAAAACCTAGAACAGACCTACCAATCATTTCGGGTTTATTCCCAGCTTAAGATTGAATGCTTTGTGAAAATATGATTATCCAGTATGATAATCTTTTTATATACAAAAATGTAAGTGAGAATTTTTAATATATTTGTTTTATTTGAATACTGATTCCACCTACAAAAAATTTTGAATCGTGTCCAAGTTAAAAGAGTAAGAATGTAGCATTATTTCATTTGTTAAAGTCTTTATCGGATTTATCTTGTTCATTTTATAGTCTAAAATATTCTTGGTTTATTAAAAATACCAAAAACGTTTTCATGCTTTATCAGTATGAATTACTATCAAAAATGATGATCAACCTTTTTAAAACTATTTCATTCATTTAATTATCACATTTTTCTAAAAGTTAAATGTAACTTTTCTTCATTTTTTAGGATTTCGATGCTATGGTCACTTTAATAGAAGAGATAAGAGCTTTAAAATTAAATCAAGATATTTTGAATGTGTGCATGATCCAGTATCTATATGCTTTTGCTTTGCATAGACGGAATAAAAATGGTGATCGAGATGCTGCATTAGCTGTAACTGAAGAAGTAAGTCACATTTTTGAAGATAATACAAATTTACTCTTTGATGTTAAAATGAAATTAAGAAATAATGAGCATACTTTATATGTGAACAATCCTAATTAAAGACATTTTTAATGATTCTAGGATTATTTTATATCGCAATATGGAATTGACAGAAATATACAGGGAAAAGACCTCTTTAAGAAGGATAACTGCATTGGTTTTAAGTCTAAATGAACAATTATTGTACTTATTCTTAAAATGATTCTCAAGACAAAATATCGAAAGTGTAATATACAAACCTAGATCAAAAGATTATCAATTAGTTTTTAAATCTTAAAGACTTAAATGAGGTGTCGCACTAACACCACATGATATATATATATATATATATATATATATATATATATATATATATATATATACCAATGGATTATAGGATATGAAGAGAAAAAACATTTTAAGAAAATAATCCCATAACCTAATAGTTATGAGTATCTGTAACAATAGTGTCTTTATAGACACTTCAAAAAAGTGAGTTCAGAAAGACTTGGGAAAGATGAAGGTATATGCCGAAGCCCACGGAAGGTGGACGCTTAATATTGTCGGTTGACTGAAGTTACACTTATACGTTATTGGATGCCAAGTCACTGATCTGGAGCATCTGCTAGCGAAACCGAAGGTTCTGTGTTCGCCTACGATAGTGTAGTCCTAGATGTTCACTGTTGAATACTTTCATATTGGGATGGAACGGTTATTCAGTCCTTCTAGGATTTGAATGGTTGACTAAGATCGGTTCGTAATCTTAATAAAACTGAACACTCTCCATGACTAAAATTTTTTTATTCTACCTAACAAGCTTACAAAGACTTTTATGCTTGGATTTTGTTTCAGTCTCAACAGATATGTGATATTTTCATTTAATTAGTTCAGAAACTTTAAATCTATAATCAATAATATCTTAGACTAACAAAAGAAAAGTGTTTAGAGAAATGTAAACACTTTAGATTTAAATGTTTTCCAATGAAATATGTCTAAATCTTCAAAATAATGTGGAATTATTTCTTTAAAAAGATGAAATTGACAAGATTTTCCGTAGAAATATTTATTTAAAGAACAATAAGTCTTACAGAATTCACTTAGTTACAATGTGCATACATAAACTGGTATGATAGATTCTCATAAATAACAAATTATGAGCATGTGATTTAAAAAATTTACACTTCAAATTCTCTAAATGATTTGTAAATGAAATTTATTCACCTAGACATTATGTAGTAATTGAAATATAAATAAGAGTAATACAATGGTAGCTCAATAAATTGTTTTTGGAATACATTCATTGAAACATATTAAACAAGTTCAGTTAGGCTAAATGTTTGTTGGAGTTTTTAATATATATATATATATATATATATATATATATATATATATATATATATATATATATATATATATATATATATATATATATATATATATATATATATAATGTTTATGTGAATGAATATGTAAATATTGATCAGTCGAACGCTGGAAATCTATCTGAAATATTCTAATTCAAAATTCATTAAATACTATATCGAATGGTAGATAAGCTGTTACCCGTAACTGAAGTCAGACAAACTCCGGTTTGTTCGTAAATAACAACAATTATTGCTATGGCTTTGTTTTATCTTTTTTTTGTCCTCTACACGTCTTTCATGTACACAATAATGTTATTAACAAAATATAGTTTTACTATTGGTTGTATACAGCAGTCACATATTGATTATTTTAGTTTAGTTACAATAAGAGATAATGTAGTGTCAATATGTGACATCTTTTTTTTAATTCTGAAGAAATTATGTGAAAGTGTTGTTTTTTATTTCTTAACACCATTCGCAATAAAATAATTCTTCATGCAGATGTAATTTTAAAAATAACTAACATTGATGTTATTGTTGAATTCCAGTATTGTGTTTTCTTTACCATTTTCTTTGTTGCAAAATTATCGATCAAATGAAGTAATTGTCTTCTGTTTACATGTGCTTATCTTCACTGGTGAAATCTGTATGTATAAACCAAATATCAATTAAGTGTTCTGGTTATTTTGTTTTGATATTAATCTTTCATAATGGTGGGTAAATTTTGTTTATTCCAAATGACACTTTTCACTTTCATTATCATCTAGATCTTGAAAACATGTGGAAAACCTTCTGCCGATATGTACGGTCTGTTTGGTCGTATTCAAAAAGATCGTTTTATGGATTCTCATGGTGAAGATAAAGAAGCTCTAGATTTAGCTATTCAAGGCTACCGAGAAGGCCTGAAGATTGATGCAAATGAATATCTATTAGTAAATGTTGCCACACTTTTAGTAATTAAAGGAATGGATCTGGAAACAAGTGCAGAGATGCGTAAAATTTGTAAGTTGGTAAATATAAAATTTCTCAAGTTAATTTCTCAATTTCACAAAGCATATATTTTGAAGTGTTTAGTTATATATACTGAAGCTCATAATTCGGCAGTCAAACTTTCTCATAATACACTGGAGAACTTTCTATTTAAAACAAACATTTACTTATTGTATATTTTTTCAATGCCTTATAACCAGTTACTTAGGAATATGTAAAATTACTGAATGTATGAGTAGTGGGAATGAAAGTATTATTTAAGCCTTTATAAACTATATACGATATGAGGAATCCCACAGTTTAATCCACGGTAAAATCTGCAGTAACAGTAAAAAGTACTGACGTATATTACACAACCTACTGTTTTGCTATCACATGCCAATGTATAATCAATAAATACCAGCAAACATGGTTACGATGGATATAACTAACTGGTTTACTTATTGATGCTGTAACCTTGAAATTTAACAACACTTTAAGTATTGACTGATCTTTGACTAAGATTCAATTCAGATGTCATGTATAAATCTAAAAAGAAACTTTAAAACAACAATCTAGTTACGTCATACAAAAGAATCAGTGTGATGTATGCTACTTATGTTGGTAGATATAAGTAGTATGAAACACCATCAGAAGTGCAATGCCTGGCAGCAGAATATCGAGAAGATAGAATTAAAGAGTACAGGAATGTAAGCAGAAAGTAATTTTAATAATAAGAGGATTGGAAGAATCATGAAGTATGTAAAGGATAACTGAAATAAAGATGCGAAAATAGTGTATTTAATGTATAGTTTTCGGATTTACTCAAAACACTTTGAAATTTTGTACTGAATAATAAAATTGTCTTTTCCGCTTGAGTTGTCGTTTACTGCAAGAGTACTAAAGAAAATAGTAAATATGACTAATTAAACTACCGGAATTTAAATTCTTTAATTACTGTTAGCCTTATAAAGTAGGCAGCAATAAGTTAGTTCCTCATTTTGAATTTGTTTTTTTTACACTTTAAACAAAGATATAACTGAAATAAATTTCACATCACGGACGACCTAAAAATTTAAATTTTCAGGGGATTCTCATCTTCTAAATCAGCATAAATTTATCAGCTTTTAGTAATTTAGGAAAAAAATAGTTGTTTATTTAAGTATAAATTACACGGAAAGGGTTAACAGTTGGATTAGTGTAATAAAATCTTAACCACTTAAAACTTCGTGAAGTAATGCCAAGTTGTTGGGGACGATAGATTACCAAACTCATATTTTGAATTTTATCGCATCGATCAACTTATTGATTAAACGTTTAAATATTTGTATTGGAGTCAATTGATGAACTATCGATTAAATGCGCAAATAGGTCAATTGATGAACTCATTGATTAATGTTTAAAAAATTTCCTATGACAATATCGATTGTAAATAATTGTATAAATATGCTTGACTTGTATGCTTGATCTGATCTGCCTGCCTGACTTGTTATCTGCTGTTTGTCTGTAGAATACACTTTCTACACCTTACGCAGACTTCTTGATCGAGTTAGCAGAATTGGGGACAACGGACCAGAATAGACTATCGAGATTCTGAATCCTTGATCCGATCGATAAGCCACTGTCATATAATCGGGCTGCCTCTTTGAGCCATAACACAAGTCGACTGAAATCTAAATTCAATGTAAGCTAGCCACTTTCATTAGTTCTAGAACCAGTCTTATCAAAAGATTTATTTATTCAAACGTTTTTCTTTCTTACTATTTAGGTAATACACTGAATTTGCGTGTTGGCCAAAAAGGAAATATTTCCACAATCAATGACTATTGGGATGTTGCCACATTATTTGAGGTACGCGTAATAAGTGAAGACTATGCTGGTGCTGTTCAAGCTGTGGAACGAATGTATCTTTTAGATCCACCTGACTGGTATGTTTCATTAAATCAAATATTCCACCTAAAATATATCTTTATCATGTTTGCTACTTTCATTCAACGAAATAACTTGGAGAATGCGCAGAAAAAATTACTAATTCAATAAATGAAGATTTTGTATAAGTCTTTTATTGGTTCGAAATTCCACTTACTATCAGAATGAAAAACATCATAAAAATGAAGAATAGTTTGCCTTGTAAGATGTGAAGAGAGAAAAGTGAATAGCAAATCCAGTTTTGTCAGTGATGAGCTGGAGATAAAGTTATCTATGGTCTCCAAATGTTCGATAACTATAGGTAATTTCCATATACACATATATATACTACCTAACTTGCATAGTTTCATCACTTTCAATTTTCCTCATGAATAACATGTATCATTTGTGATACATGTACAACCAAACTACTAATATCAGTAGTAATGTTAAACAATTACCGTGAAACAATTAATGTCCTTTAATTGCCAACATTGACCATTACTCAATGATCTATCAAGTGTAAAACTTTGAGTCCTACAGAAGGTTTATTAACAGTCGAATAACTTAGTGATGGCATTTGAGACGGTGAATCCAAGTGAGACCATCAGTTATTTCACGATATCAGGTATACTTCAGTGGCGAGTGCCTACCTACAATCATGTAGTACTAAGTTATTTGATTGTCCTAGATATAATTTTGTTATATTCTCAAACATTTATTTTTACCTTTCAAACAGTTTGCGAAATCACATGAAAACATCTTTAGATTTATTTATTAGGCTTTTAATAATCGCTTCATAAACATATTTGTACAGATGTATATATGCGCATCAAAAATTGATTGATTTAAAATATCATAAATTTTGACTATAAAAACATTTTTCTGATTCACATATACTGTACCATAAACAAAATATGGCAGTTGACACAATTGCACAATTTTATATACATAAGTATAAATAATGTAAAAATGCATTGTAAACCTGGGGAACCAAAAACAGCTTGTATTGGATATTATTAGGAAGTTTCTAATCTTTAAGATGAAACATTGATCTTTGGAAGAAGGTGTGCTATTCTACTAAATAATGGATGTGTAGTGGATAACATTTATCTGAATATTCAGTCATTACCTGTTTAGAGTAATTGAGTACTTTGATCAATAATATTTCTGAGAACTCAGTATGAACTTAAATGCATTGATGAGATCAAGAGTAATTTGGTGTTTTGAATAATATGATAGTGGATGTTTGTTTAATCCACTTTATGACTTAATTATAAATTTGATCACCTTAATAATATCCACCTGGTTCACCGATTATTTTGCATGTTCTCAATACACAGAAGCATTTGTGTTATTTGGAGTCCTAGAAATCGAAAAACACCTAACTATGGTCCACGCTATTACTATATAGATGAAACAGTTGAAAAATGCTTGTCAATAAATTTTGTATTATTAGCAGTCCTGAAAATCATTTGACAGATTAAAGCAACCAAAAAAAATATATATATATATAAATATATATATATATATATATATATATATATAAATCTACTCCGTTTCACAAGCTAACAGTTATTTGCGCTCAGTATCTAAGTTGATAAGCCGATGGCGTTTAAAGCAAACTGGAGTGACTGCGAATTCCAGCGTGAACATTCACTCATGAATACAAGAACATTCAGACGATAAGTTCGAAGCAGCATAAAATGTGCGTCCCATACTCTTCTCCAAGTCACTATTCATCTCTGCCTAAAGTTGTGTATGATCATAAAGATATACATCGTGTACGGAAGCGTTTGTTGGCGTTTTTTCTAAGCTAGGCAGTTTAACAATGATTTTACAAAGCAAAACCGTGAAGTTTTCCATATTTTTTTGCACTTAGCTCATCTACCTCAGTGAACAAAACAGCTAAAATCGTAATTTACTTCATACAATTTCAAAAAAGAAAATGTGAAGTGGTAAATTACACGCAGACTAACATTTTATATCAAATGTTTGTAATAGTTTCAAGAAATATTACCCAACACTACAAAGTTACTTATATTTAGGTTTTTTAATTATCTTTTATAATGTCATGATTATTCCAATGTGATATTCATGTTGCAAATTATATTAAAGAACTGTTTCATCTAGCACAAGAATATCTAGAATGGTATAATTAAATCGATCATTCAAAGACTATTCGTAAAGATTTATTTAAATATAATGAACGATATTTTATAAAGGTCTCTGTCTAACTTTCTGAGTATCTGTAGTTTAACAAATAAAGATAGTCTCATGATATTAGAACTTTGCAAATCATTTGATAAATCATCCTTGTACTTCACTCAGCTAATAAGATTTTTTATTTTGATCACAGATACTTATTGACTCTAAAATATTTTGATTTCTCTTGTAATTGGTTTAATTTTGCATAAATTGACCAGTTAATTAAGCTAAGTTGTCTACATACAAAATATCATACGGAAGAGACATCGAATATTTAATAACTGTTCAGCTAACTAATGAAATATTGGGTAAAACATGGTAGATGTTGCAAATGAATACTATAGTAAAGGTTCATTAATCTATCCTATGTTCTTACAAATAGCTATTCGTTTTCTCAAAGGTTATTTGTAAAACTAAACGACTTGATTAGAATAATAAGAAAATGGACATAATATGCTTTATTTATTTACATAGTAAATAATGTAAGCGAATTGAAATACAAAGTTTTGTTTAACTCAAACCACCTTTATATTTACTGGAATTATGTAACTTTAAGCAAATTAATTAATTTCCTTTGACGAATGACAGTTACTATCTGTTCATTAATTTTCTTTTATTGATTTTAAAACTTTTCTATAATATAAGAACATTCTATGTTTACGATATTTAGATGCTATTTTCATCTTCATTTCCAATTATTTTGATTCATATTTTTACCTAAATTTTACATCTTTTGTTCAAAGTCAAGTTACCTCATTATTGAAGGGTTCATATGAATAATTTAATTTTCATATTTACAATGTGGATTCAACATGTAAAATAAAGTATACACTTTATTTTAACAGTTTTTGTTTTCTTTTTCTATTTTCTCACTTCTTAAAATCATTTATAGGGAATTGGAATCTACATTGGGTAACATAAAAATGATCTGCAAATTTCGTAAACCACCAGAAGAGAACAAAATTGCGAAACCACAAAAAGTAAAAGAAAAATCTTTTTTACAGTTTTCTTTTTCAAATGAACACAGAATTTTGGTGTGAAAGAAACAACAATGATTGATTATTTAATTTTAATTTATTCTGAGTAAAATACTTAAAGAATTTATTATTTCATAACTTACTAAAAACTCTAGAATACAATTATTTCACTCAGCTTAAGGTTTGTATTTACAAGTGAAGTTATTATTTACAAACCACAGTCAATTATTATAAGATGTCATACTATAACTATCTATTAGATAGCTATACCATTCTCAAAAAAGAACTCAGCTATCCCTCCAATTAAATGTTAGGTACCGATAGGCATTTTAGATTGATCATGTAACATAGCTTCAAGTAATATACCAAATAAAAACAAGGCTTAAACACTGATGGATAAAGATTGAAAGTATATAACAAACATTAAAAAAAATATTCTTCCATTTTTGAGGACTTTTTTTAATATTTCTATGTTTCATTAAACTATTTAGCTAAATGATACTGGTTGTTTATCTTCTATATGATTTAACCTATAAGTATTCTCCAATATCATATTAATAAAATTCCCCTTCTTGGAAAATGCTATATTCACGTACAGACTACTAAAATAATAATAAAAATGATTTAAATAAATATCTTTTTGTTATCTGGTTAAGATCAAAGCTAATTGATGTGTCCTGTACATAGAGAATAAAACTGAATAGTTTAAATTTTAATCTCAATATACTTTTACATATTTACCAGGCTTATTTGTGCAATTAAATTAGTGTTACGGATTCATAAAACTCGTTTATTTTGTGCATTAATATTTTAATATTATTAATATATGTACGACTGGAATTGACACAAAATTAGCTATTGTATTACAAATAACCAACTTTAATACATGGATTGGAAGATTTTTTGAAAGATTGAAAGTTACCTGTTTCCATAGTAATAAGTAATGAACACGAATTACTAAATTACTTGACAATAAAAATTTACAGTTACTTTATTTGGTAAACAGTTTGACTTATCTAACGAGTATAGAACTGTATGGAAGATAATAATGTCACAGTAAATTAAAGACGTAGTGAGCTTTAAAGGAACTGAACTTCTGATTTTTATTGAGTCGTTCATTTTTTTACACGTTCCTGAGAAAATAACTCAAACTAGTACTTGACGGTATTCAGCAGAAATAGGAACGCAGAAAAAATTAAGAAATCTTATTTGAAAATAATCTTATATTGTAAGTAACCACATTACAACTGAAAATTCCTTAAAAGATAACTAATTGCGTTAATAGAATTTTTTTCATTTAATACTAAAATAGCAATAATCAAACTTATTCATATGGAAACAATCTTTTATTCTTCAAATCGTGATCACTTGATGTTCATTTAGCTATTATATAATTACTTATACAACCCTTAAAAACGAGACTAAAATTGCTCCTTGACTTTGCAAATGATCCTTATAAAAGGAAACAATATGATTGTAATACTTCACTCGACTGTTAAGGAAAAATGACAACAGTACCTTATTTATTAGTTGTAAAGTTTTCTTCCAACAACATAACTCTCTTATTATATACATCTTGATCCTTTGATAAATTTAAACAAAAGCGAGAAGAACAAAGGTTACACTTTTTTCTTATGTCGCTTCGAACTAAACTTCATTGATTATGGTATGTAACAAAGAAATTTTCCAAATGTTGTTTTACTCATTTTATTTAAATAAATCTTATCTCGTACGAAAAGCCTTAACTCGCCATATTCTTCATACAATTTCCCATCGTATTTGGATTTTTAAATCGACTTTAATTTATGAGACGACTACTTTTACATTATGATGAATAATCGAGAAAATCAAGCCAATATGCTCTTACGACCTAAGTCGTATTGAAACATTCTAATTTTAAATAGAAACATAACCGATGACGTTTAAGTGATAGTTTGCAAATCATAATAAACAAACAATAAGTTACTGGAAACCAGTGGTTTGAAGCACGGATAGACTTTAGCTGGAAAATAAATGAATATTAAAATGTATTGTTTCATTTGTGCCATTGTAAGTCTTAATAGCACCACCCACTACCAAAATGACTGAATAACGTTTTCAGCTACCTAGTTTTCAATGCTTGTTTGACCAAAGTCCACAGTGGCCTAAATGATCAGCAAACGGAATAATACCCCCCCAAACATTCCATATCAATAATTGCATTTTATCAATTCTAAAAGTATTTATCTCTGTCATGAAGTCTACCATTAAAATGTATAGATCCTTTAGAAAAAGGAAATTTATGCAAACACCTAGTGGATACACTATGACATATGGTCAGAATTACTGTTTTTTACAACGCATATCCGTTTTTCAAACTACTTCTGTGTCCTTTCGTTACGTAATTGTGGATTGTTATTAATATATTTACTACAGAAGTACTTAAATGTCAGAAACCTTGTCAAAATCGATAGTATTCGGTTTATAACTGCTAATAAGTTTAAAGAAAAATGAATGAAATTGAATGTTTAAGTAAAATGTATTCTAGACTTAATTAATTACTGTTCTTACTGACAAATAGTGAAAAATCCTACATATATATTGCTTGCCTATTTAAACATAAATGACACAGATATTACATAAATTTGCTTGCATATCTTTGTCCAACTTTCAAATTAGTTTACAATTATTTTATCGTAAATTACAAAGTTCTTTCTCACATACTAACACCATAAATAAATTACTGATTAAAAGAATAAAGATATTTCTATCTAATTATTTGGCATAATAAACCACATAGTTTATGTATATTTGATAAATAATTAATAATTAGACAAATCAGAAATAATACTTCTTATTAATAAATAAAACTAATATATTTGTAATATCTTAATGAGTAGAAAAGTTAAGTTGAGTTTTCTACTCATTGGGATATTACAAATATATTACTTTTTATTTATAACAATCTACTCAATCCTCAACTTATTTGAAATTATCAAGCTAAACCTTGGTAATGATACCTATTTCTTAATAATGAAATAAATTATATTATCGGACATAAATAATTTATCACCGATAGTTGTGTTTGGTGACAACAATAAGACTTCATATCTAAAATGGAAGAACAAATCTGTTTCTACACATACATGTCTGCTGTTAAATGAATGTAATCAATACTATCATATCTATGTACACAGTAAACTTATTTGAAATAATTGTTTAGGTATTATGTTTACAAGTAGTAGTCAGTAGTATCATTTTCATTAGAAATTAATTAATGTTATGAATTATTTAAAAAATAAGCTTTAAAAATAATGTATTTGCTAAACATCTTTCATAATGCTACTTAATACTTTCAAATAATGTGCTTTTTTACAATGGGTAATTATATATTTTAGTTTGTAGAGATCATAATGTGGTGTTTTAGAAATATTTCATTCATTTTCTACCTTATGTGTTTGCATATATTTTATCTTTATGAAGTTATCATTGTACTAATTTTCATGCAAATTCCAAATAACACAACATCGCCGTTCAACATTATAAATACCTCATCAATAACATTGTGTAACAATTTAAATTTTAAAAGATATTCAGTTAACTTCTGTTTCAACATATTCAGATAAATCCCGGTTCTATAAAAAAACTCATTTCCCTTAAAGAAATCAATCCATACAGCGATGATTATATGTTCAAACATGTTACATTATTTTATTGAATGTCTTAGACAGTGTTGTCAACTGATTATGATTTGATTCTGCAATATTACTGAACCAGGAAGACTTTATGCTAGTAAAATCATATAAATGTGTACTGGAATTAAACTAAAGGGTTTGGTTTAAAACTGTTCACTCAAATAATTCTTATATATTTCTTCAACCAGATACTGAATCTTTAGGTAACAAGGATAAAACCAAGTTATCTTTGATGAGTTTACCCACTCAACTTTAATACATTTGAAAAAGATTTTATTTGATATCATAATGACTATCTATTAATTGCTCTAACACGCTAGTCAAGAAATTCTTCATCATAAAGCCACTTATTTCATATAAGCAAAAAACATGATCTTTTTTTCTTGAAGACAGAAAAACAGAATGAAAAGAATAATAACCAACTTGTTGATACTTTATCAACTGGACTGACATTTTGTTAAATGTTGTAAGATGCTGATGAAACCTACCTCACTGAGTAAAATAAGCAGTTTGGGAAATCAATAGGACAGAAACACAACATTCAAGGAATTGTGTATTCAATGAGTAGAATTTAAACGAAACGTTTAATAGATTATCGACAAGAACTGATTATAAGTAGCGAGTGAAATAACTCATTCCAACAGTCACTAGTATTATCAACCAGTAGCACGTCATGGTTTAGTTGCTTTTTAAGATAACAGCCTCAAGTGACTATTTAGCTTATCATTAGACCGAGATGCGAAAAAGCTTTTAATACATCCTAGTAAACAAGTTATTCAATCAAGAAAATTAAGATTTTTCATAAAAGCTTCGATTCGTTAAAATCCTCATCATCAATATTGTGTAAATAAAAAAGATTCCTTTAACCCATACTGATGATATTAATAAACTTATGAATTCAATAATATTAAAAATACTTCACCAAAGACTTAACCAAGGTTACCAAAATTTCAAATTTTAAGTTGCCGTGAATAATATAACTTGGCATAATGACGAATTTTCCTCTGGTGACATCGTTAGAAATAGGTATCATAATTAACATAACACCGCTGCACTTTTATCTGTGATAGAAAAATAGGAAAGAGATTAATTATCATTTCGTCTTCATGATCTTATGTGCTCGCTACACACGTTAATTTTAATTATCTCTTCATATTCCGTTCACTTTATAGTTATTTGACTTTTGGATGGAGTTTCTGTCTACTGTGTGTGATACTGATGAGAGCGATTCATTTTTAATTTCATCGGGTAAGTTAATGTTGGAAATTTAACAGAATAATTATACCAAAGAATAAGAATATTGATTCGGCGTTATATCTGGGGGCCTTTCTTTTATGTCTGACATGCCCTCGCTTCTATGTCTGTATCGATTCTGTTAGGTTCTCAGTCTTTCTGCTTATACGCCACGATCGGGAACAACTGCAGTTTTTCAATCCTACTGCTTATATTTTGAAACGGTAACCTCTGAAATTCCTATGATGCAAACTAAGAACACGAAAAACTGGAGTGATTAAGATTTGTCGACACTGCAAGAACACGTCCCTAACTAAGTTCCAAAAACCACATACAAAATCACAACATTACACATACTTAGAAATATCACATATTTGCGAAAATACTCTCAGTTAATGTTAAAACACACAGTGAACACAGTTAATCTGAATTGATACCGAGAATACGATTGTGATACTACATGGAAGTTTACACTTGTCATATTGAACGACGTTTATACTGTATTGATGCAAAAAACTTATTGACCTAAATACTGTCGTCTTTTCATCTTGTCATGTCAGGGAAGAACATTATTTTACTAGAAATTCAAAGGTCTGGTCTAACCAGACCACACTATTTTCATATTGTTGAGTGCTTACATATTTGCTTAATCCTGTTACCCCTCGTGGAGAAGCATGGGCCGCCCATCAGCACTCGCCATCCAAACCCGTCCTGCACAATCCTTTCTAGTTGCTATTCATCCTTTTGATACCTGCTTCCATTTGCCGACGCAGTGTGTATTTTGGCCTTCCTCTTTTTCATTTCCCTTCCGGATTCCAAATTAGCGCTTGCGTCGTGATGCAGTTTGATGATTTCCGTAATGTATGTCCTATCCACTTCCAACATTTTCAGTCATTCTACAAGTGTTAAATCAAATTGTCCTCATAACCTGGTCCATGATTGGTTGTCTTTATTCGTCCTTGAATTCTTGCTGACAGACTCGTCCAGTTGATCTCCATCTATATGACTGATTGACCACTTAGATATGTGTTAGTAAATTGAGTCTGTGTCGATCTTTCTGTTTATTGAAGATTTATCTAAACGATATTTTTCTAGTAATTCGCTGATATTGGTGGTATTTTCGGATCTATTGTAATCTAATTAGAATAATATAGACGACTTATCATATCACTTCACTGCTATTCTATGTTAACGTATGCATAGGTGAAGGAGGCGTTCACTATGTTCAAATAATATCAGTCAGTCAGTAACAAAGTAGAACTTCGTACGTACGTACATCAGTTCAAGTTGCCATACCACATTAGCACAGAGATGCAGGTGTCAATTCAAATCCTGTCGTGGTAGAGGTAGTAAGAGTATAAGCAGTAATCGGAAAGATTATGGTTTGAAGATGTTATTCAGAGATTATAATACAGTGAAATAAATTTGGAAAGAGCAAACAGGGACATGAAAAAGTCAGAAGATTAGAATTTGGTAGGACACAAAGTGTGGATCCACCTGCGCCATTACCAACGATTTTGAGCTATGTCATTCAAGGTATCTAATCAGTGGTTGGTATCATCTCACAGATCCCAACCAGGTAGTCTACACCTACCAACATGTCTCAGTCCACTTGTCAGTGACTTCATGGATTCGCGCCATGTTTTGGTCTAGCCACTCCTAGCGTTCCTCCGTTCTACATCTACACCATGAAACGTCGCACATCGGGGCAGTCGGTTCTTGAGCATACGTAACACATGTTCCAGCCATCTCAACTGATGAAGTTTCATTAATTCATCAATCCTTACCTAGTTCTGTATTACTTACTCGGTGGTCCCAGGACATACGAGCAATGCTTTGAATACACCTATGATCGAATACTAGTAACCTACGAATATTTCCTACTCTTACCGGCCAAGTTTCACTGCCAAAAAATAGGACGGAACGAACTGCTGCTCAGTGAACCTCTCCTTTGGTTGATAGACGGATCTCTTGCCTACGCAATAAATGACGCAAGTTGGCAAAAGCTAGTCGAGCCTTCTGTTTCCGTGTTGAGATTTCGTCACACACCAGACCACAAGGGCTGATGAGACTTCCAAGATAAGTGAAGCGATCGACACGCTCAACTACTTCACTCCCTATCATTTGTCCGGATGTCGGTGCAACTTAATCCTGAAGTACCATTTTGCATTTCGAGGTGGAGAATCGCATCCCGAACATGCTTGCATTGTTGCTTATAGTGGTCAGAAGACTTTACATTTTGTCAGCGTCTTCACCAAATAGAACTCTGTCATCAGCATATTCCAAGTCAACAAGTGAATCTCCCGGTAGAAGTTCAACCCCTGGAAATTTAGATGAAGAAAGTGTTATCTCTTAAAGTACGTCAACGACAAAGTTGAACAAGAATGAAGAGAGTGGACAGCCCTGACGAATACCACTTGAGGTAATCAATTCTGGTGACAGTTCGCCATAATCTCTGAATAATGTTTCTCCCAGCTGATGTAATTTGCTTTGTAGATAATGTTGCATCTGTTTACTTTTGCTGTTGTCTCATTCTGTCTGCATAAAATGTGATAAAATTATGGGGTTGGTTTATAAACGTTATTAATTTCCAATAGTTTCAGACCCTTTTTGATTGTGCTTGAGATGTTTTTCTTATGTGAAAGAACGATCTGTTTCTTGGTTCTCGGAGTTGATCTTTTGATGATACGTGGATCCGCAGACACTTTTTGATTACGCTCCAGGGGTAGCCGTTCGACGGGTGATAGATAATGAGTTCATCTTGTTTTCCATGTAGTGATAGATCCTCAGAGAGTTTGACTCTTCTACGTAATTATTCTGGACAGGTCTTCCTTTGATCTGTTAGACTGTTACTATTACAGTTTGTTATTTGGCCTATGTGGCTTAGCTTCCTATATGCTTGCGTTTCCAAAGTCTCTATGTCTGCTATGTTGAAAAGAATTGAACGATAGGATTGTTTTCTGATTCTTGTTTTCCTGTAAATTTGATCCCGTTAAAAAGGTTATTATTCATCTTATGAGTATTTTTGAGTTCACTGCTCTCTAAAATAACATGGCGTTTACATAACATATACAAGACCTTGGTCCAGTTCCTGAATCTATGCATCTCAGCTGCACCGATTATTCCTGATATCGCTGATCTCATCGTAGTTCTTTCTATTTGTTTAAAAATTTGACTGTCGACTTGAAAATATGTTGTAAGAAATAGATCTGCGGGTTTTATCAAACACAATAACTGTGTTTTTGAGTGTTCTATTACGTTCCAATCCTTATTGGGTTGCTAAAATAAGGTATCTTCGTAAAATTTGATTTCTGATGAAGTGAGTAGAGTCATGAGATTGAAATACATCATTATCTAGTATTTCCTTGGCTGTAAGTTTATGGTTTTGAAAATATCTAAATCAATCGCATGAGCTGAAAATATTTTCCACCATTTCAATAATATTTAGTGGATGTCACAATGTAAGAAATGATCCCGATAACAGACAACGATGTTTCAAACATTTTAAAAACTTTTTTAGAATAGTTTGGAAACACGCCTTATTTCTTTTCAAAGATATTCATTTAAAGGCAGAAACTGTTAGAAATCTGAGTGTTCGCAGACCATAATGTATCAAATGGATTATAAGATTGAAGTATTATTGTATTTGAATGTCGTGCTTCGAATAGTAGAAAATTTCAACAAAAGAACGTAAATTATTGTCAGTAAACTAATTCAAAATATCACCTTTTTGCTTATATACCAACTCAATAACTCCCAGTAACGTGAATCTATTGCAAACATATATATAATTTACGCAGTTTGAGTCGGAAACTAACTTTATCTAGACATCTATCGTAAACTTGGAGTCACTTAAAGGTCGTTTCGTTCCACCATGGGACTCAGTAGCGTGCACTCACCATCGCTCGTACTGGAATTGAACGCAGAACCTTTATTTCCGCCCACGAATCCCTAACCTCTAGACCAGTGAGCTGCTATCCGAAGGTGTTAATTTATAACTCCAACTAATTCACGATTTTGTGCAATCCTCATTCATTGCCTTCAGTGTTAACTGGCTCAAATCCGACACAAATTGGACTCCAATGGTCACGGCTTTTCACCAAAACTCCAGGAGTCATGTCTTCAAAGTAGTTACTAATGAGTACATGATTATTAACAGTATAGGGGATTTGTGGAGTCTGTGAACTTTTGACAGTTTAAAGCACAAACTGTTCTTAGCCAGACCACCATTGAAAACCCATCCTGGGCAACATGACCATCTAGTTTTTCCGGGTTTTAAACGATGATTTAGCTATTGTCAATTCATAATTTAAACCACAAAAAAACTGCAGTCTCCGCAAACTCATGATGGTATATATATATATATATATATATATATATATATATATATATATATATATATATATATCATTACCTTTTTTCACCTTTCAAGTTCTTAAAAGACAACTGATTACAAATTACTTTCAGGAGTAAAATAGTTTCTTGTCATGATCTGATCTGTTAATCTTAAAGGTTACTGACTCTCATATCGATCATTTGAAAGAAAAAGACCACTAACAGTAAATTCATCATATAGATCAATTTTTAAACGTTTACTAAATATGATCAATACACTAACTGATAGTCATTAAAGATGTTTAGTTTACAGGATATCTGTACAAACGATTTACCTTTGAAATCACAACGCATATATCCATCACCTCAAATATCTTCTTATTTCCATCCAATAAATAAAAGTGTGAAAATTCCCATTTTGCCATTTAGTAATTAAAGAAGGAACGAATTTATTGAAGAAATTTCTTCAATTAGTTTTTCATCATGGCTCTACACTAATATATATATGGTTTACAATAATGATATAATACTCATCGAGTGGATACGTTACGTAATAATTACATAAGGACATTTAAATTAACATTGAGTAGTTGGAAGAAAGAGGGTTAATAATATTCAAAGTAATTATTAAATCAAGAAGTTGCTAATTTGCGTAATATATGAAAAGAGAAGGAACAGAATTTTTTTAATGGATGGACAATAGGATAGTAGTTACGTAAGAATCAAGAGATGAATGTTATAAAGTTCAAAAGCAACGGAAACAAAATTTAAAAAAAAACAAGTGGAAGAAGTATGAAAAATAGTTCTTTTGAAGGAAATCTTATACTGATGGCCAGGGCAGAGAAAGTGGTTGTACGAATCTCTTTTGAATGCAAAGGTCAGGTTTGTGAACATGGATTGCGATGGCTTCCGCAACGTGCAAGAGGCGCACTCGTATACCATGTGGCAAATTTGATGGGATATTGTAGATAACCTTAAAGGATTTATTCAATCCAACTTGATTACCTGTGTCAACCAAGTGAGAGAGAATAGAACTTTTACTCACTTTTACCTGTCCTTTGCTTAACCATGACGGATGATGTTCTGTAATACGATGACGGACTTGCCGAATTGTGTTACGGATATACACGAGGTTTTGGCGATGAAATAAGGCAATGTCAGTTACGTGAATCCGTTTCGTATTTACGTAAGACCCCTACCTTTTTAGATCAAATTAAAATGTCATAGCTTATTACTTGTAGTATATAATAAACGTTTTGCAAAACAAACACATTTCATTATTTCAATATTTGTTTTTTAGATGAAACAGAATATGACTCATTCATTAGACCATATGAAAGTTATACCAAACGAATAGTATATCCAGTCTTAGTAACTGAACAAAATTGTACCGTTATGAAACCAGCTAATATTCAAGTGAATATAAATGCTGTTCCAAGAAATCTCCGCGTTATCTTCTACGATCTAGACTATACAATATCTACAACCGTGCAATCAGTCGATTTACAAAATTGTGGAACTATGCGTCAACATTTTCCACGTTTCAATGAACATAGTCAAGAAGAAGATTTAATATTTAATGCTGAAGATATTATTGGTATAAGGTAAATGGAAATTCAATATATTATTCATTTGATTTATACATACTGGATTAATTTGTCAATTAATTTGTTTATGAAGTAGGTAAAGTATTATCTCTATTTGAAATGTCTCTTACCAAAAATAATTAACATTTATCAATTAAGACAATAAGTCTAACCAACAATTGCTTGTAATTGGACAAGCAGTTATGAAGTATATTTTATGATATGGTGATGTGGGGCATATCCAAAGAAGATAGCTAAAGTTAAAAAGATTACCAATATTTCGTAGAAAGAGCTTTGGTTTCTCAGTGATTATCACATTAATAATAGAGTGTTTTAAAGTTTCAAACATCTTAGATATGATATTTGATTAGATTAATAAAATATATAATGTTCCATCCATTCTTTATATTCGCTTTATTCAGTCATTAGTATATAATTCATAATACACCATTGCATAAATAACAATAGGTTTCTTTCATAAAAGAGCAAGTCTTTTTTTGTCATAAGCCTTTGATTATAAATTAATAAATACATCAGATAATTCTATTGCTATACATCTTCAAATTAACTCCAAACTATTTGAATGTCATCTATACCTTGTTTTATTATTTAAAAGCTTATGAATTTCTCTCAATTTCCAACATAATAACTATTAGATTTTATTATTCTTTTTAGCATGACAGAAAATAATAGTCGCAGTGTTTATTTATACACTACCTGTTCTTTACCAAACTACCGCATATCATTTTCCTGTGAAAAAGTTAAAATGCAGTAAGTATTAATTATTGATCTTACCTTAATTACTTTAACTCAAAAAATTTTTTTCAATTCCCTGACTTTCATTCTGTGAACCATTAATTTGATATGTAGCTATATAGACGCTAATATGATGACAAACAAATGAAGCAATGTACAAGCACTTAAACAATTGCTCTTGGATTCAAACAATGTCGAAACATGATTCATTAAGTTTAAATGTAGTAAACTGAATGTTTAAATCGCACTTATTTACACCGAACGATTATGAAATCAATAATCTCCGTAAGCTTTAGGGACTCTACTAACTATATAATATAAACACATGAAAATGTTATGATTTCATTGCATATTTGAGCTCGACAACCTTTCAGTTAACTGACTGATAAAATTACTCGATTATATTAGGATTATAAAAATGACTATTAATATTTTGACAAGTATCTCGTTATGGAGATTAATAAAAATCAGTTAGAAATAGGAAATATTATTGTACTTGTTAAACATAGAGTACACAACCGAACTACTTTTAATTGTTAGTCATCTTAGGTAATTTATTGATTGCTTATGATTTCCACATTAAAGCTGATGTCAGTTTGCGATGAAAACCCTTACTATAACACCCTAATCCTCTAACACTAACACTTAACCATGTTTTAATATATGCGTCATAACCTTTCTCGTTCTGAATTGCCTCACTGTTTGCTTTAGGTTAATTTTGTATTTTATTTGGATATCCTTTGACCTAGAAATAGTCATAAGCTGTATTGACTTCCAAAATCCTAGAGTTTTATGGGATATCGTGAGCAGTGTACTAGTGGTATCAGTTAAAATGCCAAAGATTACAAATCTTATCAATACTGATCCCTTTAATGATATATATTTTTATAAAAAACTTACCTAGGTAATCTATCTAAATCGTTAGGTTAAACATTTTCAATATCATACATTAATCCAATAGTGCTCACAACAAATATCACATTTTTTTCAAACACATTTGCATCCCAACTAACGGGAAAAAACATCTTTTGAGGAATAACCTTCGACTTAGATATCCTATTCACAGATGTTTGCTTGACTTTCTTTGTTCCATATACTATTTAAGCTAACACTGACTTTAAAAAGGTGGTTCTTTATAAAAACGACTTTCAATGAGTCGTTAAACATCAGAAATTCAACTTCCTTTGCATTCAGATACTATAAAAACATGTTATTATTTTCATCATTATAACCTGGCCGTCTAGTAATCCGCTTAATAGAACTTATTAATTCAACTGTTGATAATAATATTTACAAACTTTCATAAAATTCTGATCTTATCAATCTCAATTTCAAGCTTGTTAATTAAAAATCTAATTTCATTCATTTTTTTGTTTGCAAAATTTAAATAAACCAGTAATGACAAGATTTACAGCATAAAATCCATTTATTCTATTTTATAACTTTTCATATTATGTTATTAAAAAAGAATTTTCCATATCTTAATCCGTGCAGTTTATCTCGAAATAACACAGAAAAATATTAGAAACAGGAAAAAGACAAAACATATTTAACATTATTGTAAACAATGACTAGTACTTGAATGTTCAAAATGAAATCATATAAAGTAATGTCGAGAATAATAATGAAAGAACAAAATGAAAGACATTTTTTTTGATAAATGAGTGATTATGTAATGAGGCCATCTTGTTATTATATACTTACTTACTTACACCTGTTACTCCTCGTGAAGGAGCATAGGTCGCTCACCAGCATTCTCCATCCAACCCTGTCCTGGGCAATCCTTTCTAGCTCCGTCCAGTTGTAATTCATCGTTTTCATATCTGCTTCTATTATCCGACGCAATGTATTCTTTGGCCTTCCTTTTTTTCGCTTCCCTTCAGGATTCCAAGTTAGGGCTTGCCTCGTGATGCAGTTTGACGATTTGCGTAATGTATGTCCTATCCATTTCCATCGTCTTTTCCTAATTTCTTCTTCAGCTGGAAGTTGGTTTGTTCTCTCCCACAGAAGGCTATTGCTGATGGTATCCGGCCAATGGATGTTGAGTATCTTGCGTAGACAGTTATTTATAAATACTTGTACTTTCTTGATTGTGGTTGTTGTAGTTCTCCAAGTTTCAGCTCCATACAGTAGAACTGCCTTGACGTTCGTATTGAAGATTCTTACTTTGATATTGGTTGAAAGTTGTTTTGAGTTCCATATGTTCTTCAATTGTAGGAATGCGACCCTTGCTTTGCCGATCCTCGCCTTTACGTCTGCATCCGAACCTCCTTGTTCATCGATGATGCTTCCCATCTTGTTATTATATATGAAATTAAATTAATCCATACAGGTGAATCTCGGTGCAATGGCAAAAATGTATAGAATGAGATAAAGAGATCATCTAATTGACCTTTATATCACTATAAACATTGAACCATAGCAATGTGGGGTTTACTATATTGTCTTTCTGTATACAAAGGTCAAGTTGAGAAGGCCTGACAGCATTGACAAAAGAGAGTAGATGAGGCGTTCATAACTTGTTAGTTATTTTTTTATGTTCTCAATACGTTAACTGCCCATTAGGTCCCGGGTAATCGCATTAGTAAAAACTTCCTTTAAAACTCAGTTGTGAATGGATATGGATATGTAAATGCCTTTCTTTTAGTCCTTCCTATAAACTTGGCATCATAAGTACACGAAATTCAAAGACATATTTGAAGATAATCTCAGAAACATATTGAACATTTTTCTGATTGGTTTAAAAAACATTTGGTATTGGATACTAAAAGAAAGTTGGGCTATAAGGAAGTTCCTTAATAGCATCGTCTTAATACAGATGCATATAGGCTTTTTAACAATTACATTATTGGGTCATTTTGTAAACACTTTTCAATAATTCGTGACAAATTTCTGTGGACATTTAATTTCTTTAATGCGAACATTTTCTTGCTGGTTCATATCAACAGAATACAAAGCATAATCTCAGTTAAAAAAGGTTTTCATCAAAATAATGTTTATAACTAACAGAATAAAAACTTCAGTATTTCAAGCATTGTCACGTTCATTTTTCTTTTCTGAATATAATCCAATATTTTTTTCGAAAACTTTGTTCTTTATCTATTAATAAAGTTTGCTTAATATGTTAATTTTTTCAATTATTCCATTTTTTTTATTCAAAGGTTTTATACGGTCTTACGTGATTGTCTTTTTTCAGAAGAGGAAAATTCTGGTTTATTACTAGACGAACATTCTTCTGAACCATTTAAAGTATATTTTGATTTTAAAAAGTTGTTTACTTCATTTATTTTTAATTTGATAATTAGAAAATAATCTAGTTCAACCCACAACATAATTTGTCATGAATATAAAATGTATCTATAGATCAACTGACACACAGTACACTTCAAATTCTCATTTCATTCAAACACTGTCTAGGTCATTCAAATAATTCAGAAAAAAAAAACATGTTTGTTTGGATGAACATATAACTTTGTTTATGTAATCCGTGCATAAATAATGAAATATGTATAAGTAAATGTTCATTAATAGAATTAACTGAATTAAGCAAAGAATGTGAATTATACAGAGAATATATATGACCTAGTATTAAACTTCAGTGATTGTAAATAGAATGTTGATCTTACTTCATAAGAACATTACACATCTTATCATAAAGATAATAAAGAATAAGTATCCAACTCAGCTACATTTCATTACAATGTTTTCCAATGAAACAGTTCTAATCGTTATTGTTAATAGGTAGTATAAGTTATTACACTGTAAACATCAGTAAAAGGAATTGTTTTCTGGTCTCAATAAGTTTACCTTAACAAACAGGTTTAAATAGGCATTCACATCGAACTAAACACGTGTTGATATTAGTTTGTGTATAAAATAATAAAATCTGCGTACATTAACCCTTCTTGAGTTAAACCTACAACTAAATATCAATCAGAAAGATTACAAAAACAACGTGATACAAAATAAAATTTAGATGTAATTCATCGACCAGATCTTGGAAAAACGGAGTCAAAACAGTTTAATACAAATAAATGTTTACAGTTACATTTCAGACTTCTTTAGTTACCAAATACTATTGTGTTTAATATTTTAAAACTAAATCACTAGCTGTCCTTATGCTGATTTGCTCAAAATTTGATGAAAATCATCATACTATTGTACTTGTGGTTTATATTTTCCTGTTGTTTATGTGAGGAGTTAAAGTTTGTCAGTATTTATTATTGTGTATTTGTCATGAGAAAAGAATTCTAGTCCTGCATACAATTTGACATGATAGAATAGTATACTTCACAAAAACTAATGACATTTATTTATGATTTCAATTGTGGCACATTATAATACAATTGATAATTCCATTGAATTTGTTCTTTTTAATTTATATATTTATAGTGGACATATGATTTGAATGATCGTAATGAACGTGAAATTCTTGGTAGAGGGAGTTTCGGCGTGGTTTATACAGGTTGGGACCTCACAAAGCAAATTAAAATGGCTATCAAAGAAATTGATGCAGTGAATATAAGGTATGATAAATTATTATCCCATCATCTCATTTATTTAATAGATAATGTATTTTCTTCGAGTTCCAGGTTATGCATAGATACATGTAGATCCAGATACATATTTTAAAATCCATGTTTCAAATCCATGGCCTTTTAATGAGTATTTCTTTCATGAACAGGTGGAAAACCCATTTAACATCATATTACTACATCATTACTTGTAAAATAAGTGTATTGTATTGCTAGTAAATTGATTTTTTTGTGGTGTGGTGTATGTCACTTAGCTTCTTATGATATAAGTAGTGTGTAGCAGCAGTCGGAAGTGGAATACCTAGCAGCAGAAGATTGTAATGTAGAGAAAAGGAAGGAAATTGGAGAGCGATCGAGATAACAACAGAAATAAAAGAATAATGAGACATATAAAGGCAACGCAAAGAAAATGTACAAATGATGTATTTAATTTATGATTTTCATATTTTGCTAATCGACTGTGCATTTATTCATTAAACATAAAACTGGTTTACCCCACCTGAGTTCTCGTTCTCTTCAATGGTAATCTACATGAATAAGATTTTTACACACAACGTTTGTGATATTAATTACTTTCAAACAATCATGATGAACGGATGTCAATTACATCTAGAAATCAACAGTTTTCAGATTACACAGATCTTTCTTTATGCAACTCCATCTAAAGTAATCATTACAAAACATCAGTTTATGATAACAATGGTTAATATTTATCGAATCAATTTTCAATTAAAGAATAACTACTACCTACAAACTACTATATAATCATGAAAAACGTATATTACACTATCAATAAATAGATTTTATTCTCCTTTTTAAATGTTTATTTGTTCATTTATTCAAGTGTTTTTACCTCTAAACCCCTACCATAATCTCTTTTACAAAATATAACTGCCTAAATGCAGTAGAATAGTACTAAATAACAGCGATATGAAAAAAGATGGTAAATTGTTTTCACCAAGAAAATAATTTGTTTATACCACGTGAAAATAGAATAAAATTGTTTAATATTTTGATTTTAAACGTATGTAGAAAATATAAGAATTTTAACTAAATCATAAGATAACCTTTGTTGGCTACAAGTAATCATTTATTTGTTTACAAACATAAAGACAAGATCAATTAGAACAAAATATATGTGAACGTTTCACAGACAATGAAGTCAATACACATTTAACCTTCATAACTGAAAACAAACGAAAAAAAACAAACAGAATTAAACGTTTCTTGAACAAATTCCAGATAAAATGTATATGACAAAAAGAGGTTTTTCATAAACGTGATGAAGAGTATCTAAGACTAGAGAAATATCTTTTTATTAAAATATAATTTATTATTTTAAGGTGTGATAGAGAGATTGGTTAATGAATAAATAAGCATGAATAAACTATCTAATATTGTCATTTATGACCTGATCTATTTAAACATGATTTATCAGTAACCAAATCATTATGTGATTGAAGTCTTTTTCCACCTTACTCTTCCAAAGTCCAATTAAATCATTTTTTCTTTTAAAAAAAGTTATTTTTGTCAGAATAGATCCATATAACTGTTGTTATGGACTCAATTATCAACAAATTATTATATTTAATCAAGCCACTTAAAATGTTCATGAGAAATCACCTTAGTTTCTTAATAATATCAGTGTATTTTGTTATTATTAACCACTGGAGCGATGTATATATATATATATATATATATATATATATATATATCACTTCAGCAGATAACTTCACTAGAAACTCACCTTTTAATATATCCTGGAATTGAAGATAACAGATATGTTTGCTAAATGAGCATAACGTTAAGAAATTTTGTTTTATGTAAATATATGTCAATACTATTGCCTATATTAATCGTTTTTGGTTTTTCTCTACGGAATACGTTAGTACTTGTAATTTTGATGCAAACATTTCGCCAAATAAAGTAATTTGCTTCATAGCGTTGAACAACTAAACGATTCTTCTATATTTTTGTTTTCATTCAGGGAATTTCAACCGCTACATGACGAAATTCGATTACATTCAAGACTTCATCATAAAAATATTGTACAGTACTTTGGATCTGTGGATCATGAAGGAGTGTTTATGATATTTATGGAACTGGTTCCTGGCGGTACGTCTTGTCCAGTGTAATTGTAACTACTTTATTCTAATTAATTTAGAACCCTAACTAAATTGACCTTATAACTCTCTCTGTTTCATATGCTTATCAGCATTGATCAAAAAGCTTAATGTTATATTTAATATTCACGATGATGGTTGAATGATAGATATTTAACCAAACTACATTTCTTTAAATGTTTCCGCCTCAATAACTCTTTTTAATTTTATATCACTAACGAATTGGACATTTTTTTCGTGAAATGAGTAATCGAATGATCATTTCAAGTGTTGAATTGATACTCTTTTCTTTGTAGCGTCATTAACATCACTTGTCTCAAAATATGGTGCTTTGAAAGAGGAAACAGTGGCAAATTATTCAAAACAAATATTGGAAGGTCTACAGTATTTAGTGAGTATTTTTTACTAAAACTATGTAATAAGATTCACAATATGCCTTGAATTTAACTTACAAGGAATCATTCTCTACGAACTAAAATATATTCCCACCTCAAGATAGGTCGCATAAAACAGTTTTCGTGATCAAACGCAGCTTCAAATCATTAGTTATACGTATTTAGTGTATTGCCTGTATCCGATATTCAGTATCCTATAAAGTTAGTATTGTATGGATTAAGCTCATGACCGCTTGTTAAACTTAAAAGAAACACTCGAAATTAATAATTTTTAATTCAATTTGAATAGGTTTTTACGCAGTTAACTAATAAAACAAAACGACAGGTACATCTTAACACAGGTAATAATGGGATATATTTACTCACTGTCGATATCAAAAGTTAAAAACAACATTATATCTACCAGATCGCTCTAATGTTTACCTATTTTAATAATGATTTTTTCATTTTTCATTCGTCCATTGATTTTATCTACAAGTAATATTTATTTATGTAGCTAAATAAAATGACAAACTAATGTATAAATTCTATAATCCCGAAGTTTTCTAGTATGATATATAACTTCTCAGTACAGTCTGTTTGAGAAATTCCATTATTTACTAAGCATACTCATTACTTTTCAGTAGTCTGTATCAGAAATAAAAAGAACTGTGTAGTAATTATTAATACAAATAGCACTGCTTAACCGAAAATCTCAAATAATTAGTTGACTTTCAGCCCCAAACGGTGGACGTAATTTAAGAAAGAATAAAATTGTTCATTTTCATTAATTACTTGTTCTAACAATTATAAGTAATTCAGATGATAAAACGGCTCAATCAACAAACTATTGTGAAAAAATGTCACCATCAGTAAATCAATGAACATCGGTATCTGATTTTTCATGTTACGATCTACCTCGATACAGTTTTTGCCCTATTTATTTATCTGTTAATACAGAATAATTGAATAAGAAAACTTACATTCATATATCAGTGAAACTTAATAGCTATTTTACTAGTGTTACCTAAATACATTTTATTACTTTAATCATATCAATATAGCATAAACGGTCTTATTCAACTATTCAACCAACTTTATTATTTTTAGCTTGTAATAAAATATATTTATACCGCTCATTTTCACTACTCATGATTATCACCATATTATATTTTATTAAAAAAGCATGCAAATCGAATTATTCACAGAGATATTAAAGGAGATAATATTCTCGTTAATATGTATAAAGGTGAACTGAAAATAACAGATTTTGGAGCATCAAAAAGACTAGCAGGTTTGATTCCACGAGCTCAAACATTTAAAGGTAGGTAAATTTCATGCCATAAATATTTGACAAAAATTTCATTGAAATAATGAGTGTACTGACAAAATTAATGTCACTGAAATTTCAACCTTATTAGAATGCTTTCTTAGTATATGCACTTGTATTCAGACTAACAGTCTCTTAAATTATATTTTATACTAATTTGTTTATTCCACGGATGGACCTTACCAATAAAATTCAGAAAGTACTAAACAGCTATTTTATCCTAGTATGGGACTAAGTAGTGCTTATCTACGACCAGCGACTGGAATCAGGACTTCCCAATTTCATGACGAGCGCTTAAACTTTATATCTATTGGGTTACATTGTTAGCTTTGTTCGATTTAGCAAAATAACCCATTATGTATTTTGCAAAATACAATTTATGATACATATAATGATGGCATACTATAAACTATAAGGAAAACAAACCACAGCCTCTTGATTATAAGTAGATTAATGAAAACAGCTATTCAGGGAGTAATGAATGTATTCACAATTAAAATTATTGACAAGCGAGCTATTATACTACAACAAAATTATCAAAGAAATTAGTAATAGAAATTATGTTCTAAAATTATTCTTAAAGTTTTACAACCCCGAATTTATTCAATCACCCACTTGTCGATCAAATTCGCCAAGTTTAATATTGAAATATCTTAAATTATAGAACTATGTGCCTTTTGGTAAATCAAAAATTTCGCTATGTATTTGATGAGCCACAGAAAAACTATATCACTTATTAAAAGAATAATAAAGTTTTACTATCTGTGAATTCATTATATCTATTGACAACAAAATAAAAACAGATAAACAGGGATCTTGAATCATCATCATCATCATATGATGTGAATAACTATGGAGAGAAAAAAATTATCTAATAATTAATTCAAATGTAATTTACCAATCAGCTGTTCGAAAATAATTTAATCAATCGTTTGTCATTCCATTAAAACGAAAAACATTTAAAAATGATTTCGGTGACATAAATTTTAATATTAGCCAAGTTTCTGAATCATTTTCTAGGTATCAGCTTCTTGAAAATTATTCGTATTGATAACCAATAATCAATAATGTTAAACAATTAATTAAGGTGACAAAGTTTATCAATTAGTACGTGTATATACTTACATATCCATATGTAAGATCATTGGAATGTATATCAAGAAAACAGGTTAAAGTATTACATACCGATAGCTTTGAGTTAACCATTCGAAATTAAGATAATAGCTCGATTATTTTGCTCAAAGTTTTAAGTGCAGAGATAGACAGAGTTTGTGTTATTATAAATGAAGTGAAAATCAACAATATTTGGTTTTTGGAATATTTTAAATCAATTAAAATGTCTATGATACAACGATAAAATGAATTTTAAATGGTGCTTAAATTACATGATATACCTGCTTCTATGACAAATTATGCTTTTACCAGAACTTACTTACTTACATATGCCTGCCAACCACCCCCTCAAGGAGCATAGGCCGCCGACCAGCATTCTCCAACCCACTCTGTCCCTTCTAGTTCCATCCAATGATTGTTCATTCTTCTCATGTCTGTCTCCATTTCTCGACGTAATGTGCTCTTTGGTCTTCCTCTTCTCCTTTGGCCTTGAGGGTTCCAGGTGAGGGTTTGCCTTGTGACACAGTTGGGTGCTTTCCTCAATGTGTTTCCTATCCACTCCCAGCGCTTTTTCCTGATTTCTTCCTCCACTGGAATCTGGTTTGTTCTCTCCCACAGTAGGTTGTTGCTGATAGTGTCTGGCCAATGGATCCGAAATGTTTTGCGTAGACAACTGTTAATAAACACCTGTATCTTCTGGACGATGGCTTTCGTAGTCCTTCAAGTTTCCGCCCCATATAGTAGAACTGTCTTCACATTTGTGTTGAAAATTCTGACTTTGGTATTACTTTTACCAGAAACAAATTAAGTAAAAAGTTTATTATTTAAAATTCGAAAATTAATAATAGTTGTTGAGTAGTTACAAAAGATATGAGTTTACAAAAGTTATGGATGATTGATAATCACCCGATGAACAAAAGATTAGTTTCAAATCGGACAACAATAATTGATAGATAAAGACTGTCTGATTAGGGTTCTCGCGACTTTCGTAACCAATAGTTAGCAACGTTGAATGATAGGGTTCAGAGTCAGTCACAACGATGTCGATCAGTTTACTCTTTGTCATATCTTCGATCCTGAGTTTCTACTTCTTGAATTCATTCTTTCTTCCCGAATCATATAGTCTATGACTAATTATTCCTACAACCACTGTCGTGTATGCTGCTTATGCTGACAGATATAAGTAGTACGTAGCAGCAATAGGAAGCGGAATATTAAGACGGGAAGAAAAGGGATGAAATAGGAAAGCAATCAAAAGAGCAACAGAATTATATAAAGGATATATAAAGGATAATGCACAAAAGCAGTGCAAATGTATGATTTTCATATTTTAGTAGGCTATTGTGTGATTTTGCATTGGACAATAATTCGGTTTACCTTACATGACTTTCGTTCATTACATTAATATAACTACTGTTACCATTACTACTACTAATACTACTCTGTAATTTGTCTTAGTGATTTAGTCTTGCTTTAGTAACGTGGTATGGGTACATAAGGCAATGCATTTGTGAACTGGATTGACTGAATACTTGATGATTTTGTGCTCAGGAAAATCACTTGGTAATAAATCGATGACTGTTTCTTTCTGGACGCATAAGTTTAAGCATATTACTACTTAGCACTTTAACGAAAAGCATTTGAGTTGTTTCTATCTATAAATTATTTTGAAAGTATCATAACCGTCTACAACACAATTCAATAACTCTAGTTTGCGTTCAGAATAACCCTGTCTATGTTGTCGTAATTGACATATTTTACTGTTTTTAATGTCCATTATTTAAGGTACTATGCGCTACATGGCACCAGAACTTATCAGGGGTTGTTGTGGATTTCCAGCTGATATATGGAGTTTTGGATGTACTGTTGTAGAAATGTTGACAGGAAAACAGCCGTTTAGTGAGGTAATAATATGTAAACAAATATTCTGAATCAATTTATAATTTGATGAAGATAAAAGTCTTTCAAAGCCAACACATAAACCAAGGGTATAATTCAACTTATTCAATATTTGCTGTGATTAGTAAGGTTTACTCACAGCTTGTATGAACAAGTTCAACATGGAGAAATTCCAAGATCTCATTAACATTTATAGTTTATATACAATCAGATAATGACAATTTTTAACTAACATTTCTTTGAAACTGTTCACTTCTGATCAGGTATATTCAGCCCATAAAGATTAAATTTGTAACCACAGCGCACAAAACTAGTTACAATACACTACTTACTGAATGTGATTAGAAGTAAAGCTTTAAGTAGGCGTTCTGTACTTTTGTTTACTTAACAGACAAATGTTCTAGTCCCTCCCGTCAGTGTATAGAACGTAAAGCATTGTTGGAAATCTCCCTTAGTATGAGTACTCCGACTAGGCGTCAAGAATGTTTAGTACAAACCAAATACGTGAAAAATTTACATCACATAGTACCATTAAAAAGTAGTGTGCTCCAAAGTGAAAGGTCTTTCATTCTAAGAATAGGCGGTGTATGCTCGTCAGCGGATTGGTTACACCATTATACAACCTTTGTTTAAAGAATAAGTAGTTTAACGTATAAAGCTGTAAAACCAGTGGTGATATAAACCAAATGGATGGTATTAGTACAGATCTACATACCCTCTGATTTTCTATTAATGTTAAATCCAAAAGTGATTAATGTTTATTTCTTCCTTGGTAGCTATCGTCAATCATTTTTACTCAACAATTTATTCCCTTCTGAGTTTTCTTCTGTTTTACTCTGAAGTGAAGTCGTAACTTCTTGTTTTGTCGTTTTTAAGACTTCTCTAAATAACAGTTGGTTTCTGCTATGGACTCATCTGTAAGGATATTGGTAATCAGTACATTTACAGGTGACAATTAATAGATTGATTCCTTTTAGATTATAAACTGCGTATCATTTAAAGTTCTATGGTTGAAATTGCATCACTAGTTTCCATGTCATTTGGTTATGTTCTGGTCTTCTTTGTGATGTTTCTATAGATTAAGCTCATAACATAATCTAAAGATAACGTCAATTCAATTCGTAACGTGTAGTTTCTAACGAAATATATCCAACAATCTACTACTTCAAGCCATACAGTAGGATGTTAAAATAATCTTACAAACACATAAACGAGATGTACAGGTAATCAAATAATATCCGTAATACCAAAGAACAACCCTACTTAATCCTATTTAGTTCTCCGGTCAAACATATTACGTTCCAAATGAATCAAACGGCAGATGATAGGTAGCAATTAACCGTTTCTATACTTACGTAAACGTTAAAACTTATAGAAACTTTATTTATAAGAAGGTAGCATTTTTGTTTTAAGTAACCCATCGACTTCTGTGAAACTCATACTTAAAACAAGATCCTGATTTTGTTAATCAACTGTTCAATTTCAACCATAAAAATGTAGTGAATGTGATCAATTTTTGTGCTTAAGACTGCATAACTATTTTTCTATAAACTTTCACATCTTTTATAATTACTACTTGTATATAGAATAACGAAAGGAAATCTGGATCTCAATATTTTACTTCTATGTGCGCTTTTGGTTTAAATCTGTTGAAGTTACATATAAACACAATTGTGAATCCATCACTCATACTAATTCCCATGCTTGTTTCAGTATCGCTGCTTGAAAATGTGGGTTAACTTTATCTTCTCATCTATAATCGAGTTAACATTAAGTCTACATATTCGACTAAACAAATATGAAGAAGAAATAACATGACGATTTAAACACCACTTATCCAAAACTGAAAGCACATAATTTTCATAGTCATTCCACTTTGAATGTCTTTCTTTGGTTTATGTACATTATTTATAATTTCATCCACTGAAGACCAAGTTTTCAAGTAATCTCAATGATAGGAAATAAATTTAATAACTCCATAAAAATAAAACAAGTGAACATGATGTTACAATATGATGAATACGTACTAGTGTACTAAAAAGTAATATGGACTACCGGAAAAAGAACACCGATTGTCCATAATTTAGAATAGTTTGTCACTAATAGTACAAAAAAATAGATTACCAAAGATCAAATATATGAACCCAATGAGATCTCTGTTCACCAACGAAAAACCGGATGTAACGACAATAGACTGTCTTACTATACAGAAGTAATGTTTGATCTTTTACGTTATTAAGCTAAAGGAATCCAGTAGCATATATATTCAATGCATTCCATACTTATGATGAGACCAGAAAAACAATTCATATCTAGAGTTTTTCAAAACCATATCAATATAGCTGTTAATGGACTTAAATAACATTGATGACCGAAGTAACGCTGAAGTAATCACCTCCATTTGTTGAAGTAGATCTCAATAAGTTTGATAATTTATGCTTCATATTCTGCTTTCTTTCGTGGATTTGGTGGGCTTTATTGATACAACTGTTACTTGCTCCAATTTGACGATCAGTCAATATTCGACATCTAGACCAGTTGTCTCATATTTTTCCCTGAGTTCACACAGTTTATCTATTATATTCAATTATGTTTCCTAGTGTGAATTTTTGCATTATCATCCTGAAATAATACTTGATTCATTCATACATACATATTTTAAATAGTCTTGAAAATTAACAGAATTCGCTCCCTTTTAGTTTTGTAGGAATTTTCAATACTTCTCTGTATTTCACTTTTTCGACTGTCTTTCGTTTTTTGTTCAAATTAGCTTGGGAATGCAATGACTGCTCTATATCGAGTTGGTATGGATTTGCAACACCCCAAGATCCCTGATGGAGTTTCAGTAGCTTGCAAAAACTTCATACTGAAAACATTTATCATAGAACCATCCAATCGTGCTAGCGCTAATGAACTGTTATCAGATCAATTTATCCTAAGGTAATGGAAATTTTTTCAATATAAACCGAACTAGATTCTCATCAACGATTTATTAACACTACATTTGAAACATTAAGCATGTTGTTATATATTCTATGTACAAGTAAAGTATTTTGAAATTTTAACAATATCATTTTACTATATATATATAGAATACCATCTCATAGTTTATAATGCTGGCAATTAATTTCATACAATATCTCACCACTCTATGATCATTTATTTATATATAAGAGATGTGACAAAAAAGAGGTAACATTTAAAGCAACAGGATTTCTGATCAATATTATGCAGAAATTATGTTCTGAATTTGTCTGTTCTTTTATTGATCTAATTCAATATGTTTCATATGTTTGATATTTGCATTAGATTATCTTTGCTATATTTCGTGTGCCAAGATTTCCTTGTTTTTATTTTGGCTAGCATGTTTAAATCTTTGTTATGTTTGTTATGTATGTGAACAGCTACATTGTGTTATCGTAACTACTAGATTGATCCCTGATTAATTTGAGGTGTTTGGTTTTGAGCAACCTGAGACTTCGACCGAATGATAGTCAATAGAATAGTTATTTCATGAACCAAGTAGATAGCTACTGCATGTTTTCCTAGAAAGCCGTATAATATTTTCAAGGTTTTTTAACTGATTTTGAAGTGGTTGAGCGCGTTTACCAATTCTCTTATCTTAGAATTTTCACCAGCTCTGTTGGGTTGGTGTCTAAAAGAAACTCAGAATCTATTTCTCAAATCCCGCATGGCTTTTACAAACTTATATCACTTGCATTATGAGTCCGATATCCGCCTGACAACAAGTATGCCTATAGGCTTCACAGAAGTCTTCTCTGTGTTACTCTGTAGCTTATAAACATGGTCTATGACATGTAATGACATGCATAGGCTGAAGATTCTCGATCATAAGTATCTTTGAAAAATTACTCGCGTTTCCTGGAACAAGCGAGTGGGCAATAATGAAGTTAAGCATAGAGCACTAGGCGATGGCGATAAATCTGTTGATGAGGTAAAGAATGTTCATTTACGGAGATGCTTATGACAAATGCCACGTATGCCTGACCACCTCCTTCCTCAATAAGCGGCGCCCATCAGTGCAGAAGTAGGTTTAAAGAAATCTATGAGAGGCCAAACTATGTCAGCATTAATCCATGTACACATTGACTGTTAAGTTGAGCTATGTTGGTATACAAAGACTAATTTGGTTGATTCTTCTCCAAATATAGAATCAGCTGATAATTTGGTTCACTTCTTCAAATAATTTCCATAATCTAACCACTTTTTATTAAATTTAAGACAATTAGTCGCTTTTAATTGATAACATTAGAAACAATTATCTTTTCATTGTTATAGATGAACGTCATTATTTCTAACTGTAATGCGTTTCTAATTGTTTGTAGTAGCTTGAGCACAAATCCCCTTATACTAAGCATGTGTTTCTAAAATCTACCATAGATCCTAATATATATAATATGTGTTTAATCTTTTGTAGTATCACATTCATTCAGAGTAAACATTTATAAAACTAAAAACCAATATAAGTTTGTTTTATTTAAGTAGCTTAACAATGAACTAATTAGTTTTTGTTGTTTTTATTTGTATTAGAATAATCTTTTGATTAGAGTTCCTTGTTCTTTTGTTAGCAGGATTCTCCTTGAAAACTCTCCTTTTAAATAACAGTAGGAACCGTAAACGTTTATGTTTTTTTAAGTCGTTATCTTATTTCTGATATTTTTATAAAATATCCACTTAGTTTTTGAATAGTTTGTTTAAAATTATCTTCAGCTACCTCCCGTGATTGTTCATCGCATACTTCCACTACTGCCTCTTCAGACTATATGATACTCAGGATTTTCCGAAAACAATCTTGTACGTATGACAATTTTTCATGTATATAGAAATTAGTTATATTGTTCGTGATTGTATTCGATCACAGGTTGAAGACATTACCCTATGTTGCACTTTATATATCTAAATGGTTATTGTTCGACAAAACTATGCATTACTCATTAAACGCACGCATACTGACATACAAGACTCAATCATCACGTTAATTATCTCAATTAAATATAAATTCACAGGTTTTTCAAATAAAAAAGGAGAAAACTTACGTAGCTGAACTAATGTTGTTATAATGAAAGCATATACCTTAAAATAATAAATCGTATTATAGTACAGGGATGCTTCCATGATTAATCTAACTGTTGTACACAATAATCCGTTTAAGCACTAAAGTTTATACATAATCAGCATTGACATTTCTATTCTTTAAAATATGCCAAATTTTTGAAAATTTTAGCTATGACAGAAATATCCCTATTCACCTCATCTACTTACGAGTAGTAAAATTAGTTAAATGTAATTAATGAGTCACCATTCTTTATTTCTGGTCGTCGCGAACATTGTACCTTCAATTTGATGTCGAGGATTCATGTCTCAGATTAAAGTGCAAACTGCTAATATTTTAAGTTGTATTTGGATAAAATTAGGTATGCTTGGTGGTTATCAAAGGTTGTCTTTTCATTCACTGCTAAAATCTTTGTTCTTGCTCTTTTCAATATGCCTGATTACTTCGAATAATTATTTTTCGCAAACATTATGTACTAAGTTGGTTCTAAATGACTAACAAAAAGTCACTGATTCAACTAATGACTCTAAAAGCCTTTGAAAATCTCTGATATATCAATATGGGTTACAAGATATAGGTGTCAATTAATTCACTTGAATCATTTCAGAAAATGTCTATATTTTATTAAATAGTTTTGTCACAGACATCCTACTAGAAGTAACATTTTAATGGGATAAAAGAAAAATAATTCTACTTGAACTGATACTCTATCGATTTCTTATCGTTTGCAGAAATAGTTCTACTAAATCGAACTTCCAAACAAATGCGACCAACTTAACACTGTGTAACAATGGGAATTTCACATCCATTCTTACCAGTATATGTGTTCCTCGTTATTCTGTAGTAATACTGCACCTCATGTGGATGGAAATAATTAAATATGTTTATATTTGCACACTATACGTTATATGTTTCTCGTAATCAGATTGTTGACTTACTTACTTACTTACTTACGCCTGTTACTCCTCGTGAAGGAGCATAGGCCGCTCACCAGCATTCTCCATCCAACCCTGTCCTGGGCAATCCTTTCTAGCTCCGTCCAGTTGTAATTCATCGTTTTCATATCTGCTTCTATTATCCGACGCAATGTGTTCTTTGGCCTTCCTTTTTTTCGCTTCCCTTCAGGATTCCAAGTTAGGGCTTGCCTCGTGATGCAGTTTGACGATTTGCGTAATGTATGTCCTATCCATTTCCATCGTCTTTTCCTAATTTCTTCTTCAGCTGGAAGTTGGTTTGTTCTCTCCCACAAAAGGCTATTGCTGATGGTATCCGGCCAATGGATGTTGAGTATCTTGCGTAGACAGTTATTTATAAATACTTGTACTTTCTTGATTGTGGTTGTTGTAGTTCTCCAAGTTTCAGCTCCATACAGTAGAACTGCCTTGACGTTCGTATTGAAGATTCTTACTTTGATATTGGTTGAAAGTTGTTTTGAGTTCCATATGTTCTTCAATTGTAGGAATGCGACCCTTGCTTTGCCGATCCTCGCCTTTACTTCTGCATCGGATCCTCCTTGTTCATCGATGATGCTTCCCAGGTGTGTGAAGGATTCTACATCTTCCAGAGTTTCGCCATCAAGTGTGATTGGATTGCTGTTCTCCGCTTTGAATTTGAGGACCTTAGTTTTCCCTTTGTGTATGCTGAGGCCTACTGATGCAGAGACTGCTGCTACACTGGCTGTCTTCATCTGCATCTGTTCGTGTGTACGTGATAGGAGGGCTAGGTCATCTGCGAAGTTCAAATCGTCTAATTGATTCCGAGCTGTCCATTGTATTCCGTGTTTTCCTTCAGGTGTTGAGGTCTTCATAATCCAGTCGACCACCAGAAGAAAGAGGAAGGGAGAGAGTAAACAGCCTTGTCTGACTCCGGTCCTTACTTGGAATGCGTCTATCAGCTGTACTCCATGCACTACTTTGCACTGTAGTCCGTCGTATGAGTTCCGGATAATATTGACAATCTTCTCAGGAACTCCGTAGTGTCGAAGAAGTTTCCATAATGTCCTCCTATCTACACTGTCGAATGCCTTTTCATAATCAATGAAGTTGATGTATAGTGATGAGTTCCACTCAACTGATTGTTCGACGATGATCCGTAGTGTTGCAATTTGGTCTGTGCACGACCGATCCTTACGGAATCCAGCTTGTTGGTCTCGAAGTTGGGCGTCTACTGCATCCTTCATCCGGTTCAGCAACAATCAGTTGAAGACTTTCCCTGGTATTGACAGTAGTGTTATGCCTCTGTAGTTTTCACATTTGCTCAGATCTCCTTTCTTTGGAATCTTGACGAGGTGTCCTTCTTTCCAATCCATCGGCACTTGTTCCTCCTCCCAAATCTTTTTGAATAGAAGATAAAGCATGCTTGTGGTTGCTTCGATGTCTGATTTCAGTGCTTCAGCTGGTATGTTGTCGGGTCCTGCTGCTTTCCCGTTCTTGATTTGTCTGACGGCCATTCTAATTTCTTCCGTAGTTGGTGGATTGACATCTATAGGAAGATCTATGTGTGCTGCTTCGATGTTCGGTGGATTCATTGGAGCCGGCCTATTCAGGAGCTCTTCGAAGTATTCTACCCATCTGTTACGCTGTCGTTGAATTTCGGTGATTGGCTTGCCTTCTTTGTCTTTGACCGGCCTCTCTGGTTTACTGTATTTCCCTGATAGTTTCTTCGTTGTATCGTAAAGCTGTTTAATATTTCCTTCTCTTGTAGGTTTTTCCGCAGTCTTTGCTAGTTCTTCCACGTACTTCTTCTTGTCGGTTCTAATGCTCCTCTTCACTTGTTTGTTTGCTTCTATGTATTCAGCTTGTGCTTGGACTTTCTCTGCTCGTGTTCGGCTGTTGTTAATTGCTGCCTTCTTGTTCTTCCTTTCTTTGATCTTGTCCAGTGTTTCTGTAGAGATCCATTCCTTATGATGGTGATTCTTTAGGCCCAGAACCTCTTGACACGTTGAAGTTAATGCTTCTTTGGTGCCTTTCCAGTTGTCCTCCATAGTAGTTTCTTCTTCCTTCAGTAGATCTTGTAAGGCTTGGAACCTGTTGTTGAGAGCTATCTTGAATTCATTGAGTTTGTCAGTATCTCGAAGGAAGGCTGTATTGAACCTTTGAATTGCTGTTTGTCCACTTGTCCAGTTCTTCTTTAGCTTCAGTTTTAAATTGGCTACAACTAGGTGGTGATCTGAAGCTACGTCAGCTCCTCTCCTGGTTCTCACATCTTCCATTTCTCTTTTGGAATTTTTTATTGATGCAGATATGATCTATCTGGTTCTCTGTAGTGTTGTCCGGTGAGATCCATGTAGCTTTGTGTATACGCTTGTGTGGAAATATTGTGCCTCCTATGACCAATTTGTTGAATGCACATAGATTTGCAAATCTCTCACCGTTTTCGTTTCTTTCTCCCAGTCCATGTCGTCCCATAATATCTTCATATCCAGTGTTGTCTATTCCGACTTTGGCATTTAGATCGCCTATCAGAATAGTTAGGTTCTTCCTTGGGGATTTCTCAATGATTGACTGCAGCCGCTCGTTGAACTGATCTTTGATTTCGTCGTTGCTATCATTGGTGGGTGCATAACATTGGATAATATTCATTGTGATCCCCACCTTCTTTGTTTTGAATGATGCTTTAATGATTCTGGATCCGTGAGATTCCCATCCTACAAGTGCATTTCGTGCTACTTTGGGCAGCATAAGAGCGACTCCCTGAGTGTGTGGAGCATTGTTCTCTTCGTGACCGGAGTATAGCAGCATCTCTCCCGTAGCTAGCCTTTTCTGTCCAGCTTGGGTCCAGTGGGTTTCGCTGATTCCCAGTACTGCTAAGTTGTATCTCCTCATTTCCATTGATATTTGACTGGTCTTCCCGGTTTCCCACATTGTTCGGACGTTCCATGTACCTATAAAAAATTTTGCTATGGTTGTTAGAAGGGGCATCGGCCTCGTGGCTTCTGAAGGAACTCGGCCTTCACCATGAAACGTCATAATTCTTCTAAATGAATACCTTCTAACTCTCAGTGCAGAGTTAAAATGGTTTGGATTATTTTTTCTGATAAGCGTTTTTTTTAGCGAGTTGGTTTTCTACGGGATGGGGACGCTAACCCCATGCCCAACCCTCCTCCTTTACCCGGGCTTGGGACCGGCAGCAACCCTATAAGAGCTACAGGCGGAGTTAATCAGATTGTTGAGCTGCTAAAGAAATATTTAAAAATCATATATTAACAAACTTATATCAGGTATTCATCTCTAAATGAAAGAAAACATTTTCAAAAGTTTTTTCTATAGACTCTACGTTTTTCAGGAGAAGTAAAAATAGATATTTTACTTATTTCATGAGTTGAAATTCGTAGGAGATATTGAGACTAGCGTAAATATTGATCATTATTACGTAGACTTGATGTCACCTCAATCAACATACTTGCATCCATTCTCTAGTTTTGTCTTGAATCCTAATTCATTTGTATTTTTCATTACTTGTTTTTTAATTACATTTCGGTAATTTTGTTTGACATTTTGAAGACCTCCAGCATAATTGTTTGTATTTTTCTCTTAAAAATCCTTTGTTGTCTTCTTTTGATCAAGTTTTTTTGTGTCCAACTCAATATATATTGATAAGTACATCCTTAAAATAAAATTTACCATGTCTAAATACTAAAATATTTCAGTGTAATCTTTATAACTTATTATTACATTATGATCAATAAATTAACTTTTCTCCGACCGCTTGGTTAATTATATTTACAGTTTTACAAAATTAAGACGACGTAAACCAGTGGGACTAACACACTCTTCAGGTAGGTAGTTCGTTTACTGCTCTAATATACTATAGTGATCATAACTGTATTTAGTTATATTTTTAGGCTTTTTATTATATTGGTCAGTATTTTATTCTGACAGCGATTCAATAATCTAAGTAATACCACTTCGAAACTTCAACTAAAACTACTGTTTAGAACTTTGGACAATATTGCATTTACAGGTTGCCATTATTTACAAGAAGTAAACTTCCCCAATTCTGTTGACATTATATAAGAAGTATATATATATAAGGAGTATATAATTAGTTCATATAAGGGTTTCTAAGAATTCCCTAATTAACCAATCTCCCAATTAAAAAAGATGAAAATTTTTTGACTCTAAATCAATGAAAATGTTTGTAGTTAAAGAATACATTTAATCTCAATGAATATGAATGAAAACATTACAATAATCATCTAATAATGATTTGAAAACTATGCGTAAAATTTTAATTTAAATTACATTAAGAATTTAATAAGAATTTAAGTCAAATAGCTAAACTTTAAAATAAAACCTTTGAATAATTTATTTTGATGATGAGAAATGGAAATTCAAAAGCAACCTGTCAATGAGAAACTAATCAAGCAAAAGTACTTTATTTGTTGTTGTTTTTTAATTTCAATATGTAACGTTTGAATTAATACTACTGATTAACTGCTAATGGTAATACATTCATTAAATATAGATTTTTTGTAATCAACAGTAAGCCACATTTCGTGAGGGTTAATAATATCGCCTAAATGATCACATAGACATATAAGGCAAAGCTTAAATACGCAATCTACAGATTATTTACTAAACCATCGTTTTATTGTTCTATTTATAAACTGATTATAAACTAAAAGCTGGGTTTAAACTTCTTAACAAAAAATCAAAACTGGCAAAGACAAATAACTGATTGACATTGAAAAAAGATATCGGTTTTAACTTACTATTTAAAGATTGGTGTTTTTAAAAGTAGTTATGTTTTTTACCTTAGTAAATTGATGATGTTCCATGCATTTAAAAAAAAATTAACACTATGTTTCGGTAGAAAATGCTTATTTCCTGAGAACTTATCAGCATCGACATTAATATAATTTTTAAATTTTAAAGCTATCAGGACAAAATAAGCCAATTGTTGGAGTCATTAGGAAGAAAATCGTGTATTAAACTATGTTTTCTTTTATATGATATTTGTTAAGAATGAATATCTACAAGTGTAACATGACCAATAGAGAGAGACTTTAGCATGGAGCTATTCAGGGTATGGTTAACCTCCTCCAAGACTGTTATAGTAACACCAATTCATTCCTCAGCAGTAACCAATATCAAACCACTTAGAGTACATATACGTTAAGACTGGATTCCTAGAATTTAATTTCACTAAAGACTTCACAATTGAAATATATATCACTACTCAGATATTAATCAGTAAGAAGTAAGTATTACGACTACAACAAACGTCAACTAAAAAAAAATTAAGATAATAAATTTCAGTCATCACAAAGAAAAAAACAGTAATTCCAGTTGAGTGCTGTCCATTAGAAATTTACTAATTCACAACTATGTGAAACAGATGACTTCATCTTAAAACCATTTTGTTGCTTTTTATAACAGAATTTTGTATTATATAATTAGATAGTTGCATACTTATACATTTTGTTTTACTTAACACTTCAGATAGGTTCCGGCCGTCAAATAAATTCTATCAACCTAACTGTAAATCATCTGAAGCAGTTCTAAGGTAATTAGTTTTAAATGTCAATATTTATTAACCAAAAGCAAATAATTCCCCTCTTTTTATTCACATGCCATAAACCGGTTTAATTTGATGAACAACAGGAGTATTACAAATATTTCAGTATCTGTTTAGGAAATAACTGAAAATGTTATCTTATATAAAGCACACTATTATTTCATATGTAAACCTTAAGAGTTAATTTTCACAAACGGATGTTTATTTAAGCAATCATAGAGTACTAAACATCTGATTTTCTATTTGACTCTTTCAAAACCAACACTCGTAACTAATTCTTTAAGAAAATCTAAATAACCTCTTCATATAGTACTTTCTCCAAGTAAACTGACTACAAAGCATACCTCATTTAGTATTGTATATACTTATTCAGTGCTTTCTGAATTGTTAAAACAGATATATTGGTAATCTTATTGCATAAATCTTAAACATATAATAATCTCATTTATTAAATATAAATAATATATAATTATATTTATCGATTATTGAGCATCAAAATGGAATCAGAAATTCATTATTCAATCTTATCTCAAACTAGTAATTAGAAGTACAAGTGTTTTAGTTCTGTTTTATGTTACTACATACAATTAAGTAAACTGTGAACTAGTTGATATTATCTAATCAAAGTAGAATGAAACTTATCTAAATAGTTTAATAACAAACTACCTTAAGATAATAAAATAATATAATAATAGTTCAGAAAATTACTATTGAACTTAATAGGTAGATCAATAAATAAAATAAAAATGACTATGTGCATTTGGAATAAGTCCATTTATGAAATATTTTCTTAAATACAGTTAAACAGTTTGTAAATTATTTACGTAATGCATAGGTTTGTATCTGTGTTTTTCTTCAGTGAATAACTAATTGTTACAGTTTATATCATGGATTAATATTAGTTAAACAGAAAGCATTGAACACCTGTTTCATCTTATTGTGAAACTTCTGAGCAATACACATCTACGATTCTACCACAAAAGTAGAGTCCACGATGTTTGGTCTCGTTCTAACGCGCTTAAGCTCTAGACCACTTAGACGACATCCAGCGATTTTCATGTCTAATTTAGATCAGTTCTCGACATTAAGCAACCATCTTTCATTACTTGTAGTCGACAACCATCTCACACACAACATAGCTCAGCTACATTGAAAGGAACATTTAACTCTGTGAATAGGATATTTTACATGAAGCAACACTAATCAATGTAGCTTCATTCTCATAACCATGTCATTTAATCACTAGAATTTAGACCAAAAAATACAAGTGGATTTGTTTTTTTTATCATAAACAACAAATAACAAGTTAATCAAACATACGTAATCATAATCTTAAATATGGCATACTCTAATTTCAGATCTTTGTCAAATATATCAAATCAGTCAACTTCTCCAGTGATTATATCTGGTTCGGGTAAGTTATGTAATGTAATATATTATTCAGTATGAACACTGAAGCAAGATACTAACAAACTTGGATAAACTACATCCATTTATTTGTTCCTAGCAAAAGTTTAATAGTGTTTTGTTGTATTTGTAAATAGAATAATATATAAATAAACTGAAAAGCAACTTTTGCTCACCAGCTTCAACCGTATGAACAAACATTGAAAACAGGAATCACTAATTTGTCGATCATTGTCCCGATTCAATTTTATTCTTCAACTTCTATCCATAATGCTCTATTCGATATAACCATGGAACCTTATAGTTAATAATGATAAGTTCCATTAAGTTCAGCAATAATGGTCAACACTTATCTTTATTTTGTTTTATAAAGTTATAGGGCAAACTTCTCAATCTATCATCATTAAAATAATCATTTCTTCAGAATATCAATGTGAAATAATTCAACTTGTTAACTTTTGAATAAAAAACAGTATTACAAAATATTGATATTTTAGTAGTAAACCAAGAACATTCTATAAATTCATGCTGTGATATTTATGTATTAATAGTCATTGAGACTTATATAAAACTAGATTATATCTGTATACAAATATAAAAATGTGCCAACATTGTTTATAAGTACCAGCATTCGCATAATGTCATTATAATTGTAATTTATCTCCTTGTTTAGTTACAAAATTCATAAAGGATCTACTTATTAAAAACAATTTATAACTGCCTGTTATAAAATCAAGATTTTCCATTGAACTTGGCTATCCATTTGAAACATTAATTTGAATTTAGAACCTGATCAGAGTTTTTTGGAAAGAACATTCTTCATTTAGTTTGTGATTTTATTTAGCTAAAGAATGCCATACAAACTAAGTCAGAATCAGTAATCATGAGAATAAATGAGTTGACTTACGAAAAAGAACGTTTTGAGCAGGCATATAAAATATACTGTTTCAATTAGATTTATCAGTATAACGGTCTTTTACACTTAGTTTTCATTCAGTAAAATAATAGAATAATATTACTATGATAAGTACGGACTTGTAAATTCATTTCTTAACTATTTTACTGCCTTGTCAAGTTTTAGTAAAAGCATATAATTTGCATAATGCACCACACATTAGTTTTTATTCACATTGAATTGAGTTGTTCCACAACTTTTAGTTGTTAATTATTCGAAAAGTTAACATGTTAGTTTAAAATGTCTCTTACAATATTCATGAGAATATTAACTAATACCCAAAATGCAAGTTTGAGAACATAGCAATTTCAACACAACATATTTGTTGGTTAAATAAGAAATGATCATATTAATTCACCTGTATTAATTCATATTACGCTTTAAGTAAACTACAATATTATGTATATCTAGTTTTCCTAATAATATTTTTAGGACGAAACGAGGAAATGTTATTTTATAGCTTCTCATCAGTTGCAAACAGTCTATAACTACAACAGATAATAAAAATAAGAGTAGAGGCTTGATATACTCCTTGGTTGATGAATTTGAGGCGAAAGCTTGAAGAAAGACAGCAAACAGGAAGAATATAACAAAAGTCAACCGTTCACACTAATGAGATTAACACATACTTGCAGTATTAGGCAAGTGAATTCATAAATATTAGTAGTAGGGAACTTCAACTCTATCACAAGTTGATATTCATTTAAAATCATTAAGTCATATCAGAAACCATGGAAAAGAGATCATGTTTGTGGTTTATCAATAATTCATAGTTTTTCACTATAAAAGCTGCAGATCATGAGCTAATCCATACATAGTGGTAGTCAACTCGAAACAGTTCAACGTTACAGAGCTTTCTTTAGTGTCATAAATTTTCAATTAATATTAGTCACTCCTGAGTTGGATGCTACACATTTTGAGTATGTCCACCCATCACCTACTCCGGGTTATCATATTCACTGGAATGGCAAGCAGCTTACAAAGCGATTCGGGGATCCCATAATCAAATAAGGAATCAATTAATTCAGCTGTCGATCAATAAATTGAACTACGTTTGGAGTTCCAAACTTCCTGGTTCTGATTCAAAAGGCGATCTTGAGTAATTGCTAGTGACCTTGGGTAATATATTCCAAAATCAGTTAGTTTCTAATTTTCTTCCTTATCATTATTTTTATTATTCATAGTCCTCCATCCCATTAATTTACTATCAGATTAAATTCCTATGTTTATTTTTCTACTATCCTTGGTACTTTTTCGATTCCTTTACATTTCTCCTTGTTGATTTCTTCTATAAATGTATTGCTGAAAGTTGTAAAAACTTGGTCTGATACAAAATATTATCAAATCCTGTATGTTTTTAATTGTTTATTAAGTCACTGATGAATACTATCAATTGAATTTTTACATATTACCTTATTGAATAATTACTTTGTTTTTAAAATCAAAATAGTAAGATTCTCTATAGTGAGTTAAGAAGATATTTTCTTCTTTGATATGTGTATCACAGAAGTTTCCAACATAAATAGTCATGCAAATGCTCATTCTGAATAATCAAGTTCTAGGCTACAAATACACCTAATTTATAGGCTCAAATAAATTATAATCTATTACAATTTAAAGTATATTAAGTTAAAGAAATATATATTTGACTAATTTTCTTTATCGGTATTTTTCTCCTGTATTTAATTTGTCAAGTTTTAAAAATATGTCTTACATTAACTGTCCTACTCTATTTTTTCATCTTAAGGCTCATGGGGGAGTAAAAGTAATCGTTTGCTAAATGTAATTCACAACAGTAATTCAATTTTGTCAGAAAGTGAAAAATCTGACAATGATGCCTCTTCCGTATTTTCAAATGAATCCTTCCATCAGTTTAACTTAAAAAGTAAGTCATTATTTATAAAAAAAATATTGTATTATAAGACCAAATTATAGATCAAGCAGAGAATAGAAATACTGACGGAGAGAAACATTCCACAGAATCAGTAAATCATATTTCAATTTTACCTGTCAAAGTAGAAAAACTGAAAATACCAGGTGTATATATTACAAAGGATGAAAAACGCAAAGCTCCTGTAAACAGTGCTAGTTTTGGGAATTCAGAAGATCCATTCAATTTTATTAAACAGGTATTGTTGGAACAAATTGTGTTTGCTGTGTTTTTTCTATATTTCCTACACGAGGTCGTTTAAAATACTCAGAGAGCTTAACAAAACTGAACACTGAAAGTTTCTAAACAAGTAATCAAATAACATTTAGCAATGAGTTTAGATTCTAATTTTAATTCGAGAATATCTGAGAAAAGCTATTCGATTAAGGAATTTGCAAGACTTCATTTAAAATGGTCAGGATATGTTAAGCCCATACATTTACTACCCACCGTTAAGTCCTGTGATCCAAGTTGTATAAAAGTACATTACTTTTCACAATTATAAATGACAGTCATAACTTTAATAAAACATTTATTAATACCAGTTCAACTGATGCGAACGCATCATCACTTCATCTTCCGAATAAACATTTAATGACTGTGTCTCCTTTTTTCTATCTATGGTCTTATATTACAATTTACATGTTGTTTGGCAAATGATACGTGACTCTTGTATTTTTGCTTTTGAGTTATTGTAGCTTTAAAGCACAAACTGTGGGTATTTTATACCTTTTTGTTATTCTTTTTTTTCTACAAAATCCGCAGTTGCTTACTTTAATATTTCTCCATTAGTTTGTTTACTAATCATAATTTTGTTATGAATTAGAAGTTTAAACAAATGCTAATCTTCAAAACTATCAAGTAATTTTATTACTGTTATTTAATCTTACCAAGATGCTACGGTATTTCGAAGAAAGCCAAGATATTGTACCATGGTGACACCTCAATGTTTTAAAACTGTATATAAAAGCATTTAAATTGCTTTATCGATAGCCAGACTTGTTTAAAAACCTGCTTTTAGTGTACTCATTGCTTATATCTTGGAATGTTTAGAGAATGTTAGTTATCTAGTTATAATGGCGACTTATGATAAATGAGACTGATGGAGTTAATCACTTCCCGATAAAGTTATACGCTGTAAAATCAGATTTCAAGGGTATCTGACAAAATAATACATGATATAGCTTCAATAATAACACTTTCTGAAGACTGCACAACACTGAATAACACATTACATATATTTATGAGTGACCCAATCTCAAATGATCCATACTCTGAAACGTTTTTTTATTTTAAGGACTCTGAAGCAAAACGACGTTTGTCAAATGCATTAATCTCCGAGAAACAGTCAATTGTTGATGCATGGATAGACATAGTTTGTCGGTGTACACAGTCGAATGTTTCAAACAAAACCAAAGATGAACTTATATCGGATTTAGGTAAACGAGTAAACAACTCTGAAACTAATCGAGAATCGAACAATGGAGTTGAGAAAAAACTATTAGAGGTAAGTAGTTACGTGATAAACTCATTGCTTCTTAATATTCTATTTTACAGCCTTAGGTAAATACATACTGATTAATTGTTCTTATTTTTTAAAATAATAAGTCTGAAATAGTAGTTTTGTAACTCAAATAGATGAGTTTCAACCGTTGACTCACTTGTTCAAAGTGCGATTCACCTAATTCTGGATGACACTCTAATCGAATACAATCTGTTTGAGAATAGATAGTTAAATTTTATAGATTTGACCGAAAACATAAACTTGACAATTAAGATGTGATACAATTAGCGTTTTCTTTTTTATATGAATGGAACATGAACAACGATTGAAGTGGAATAGTATGAATTCAATATATTTCATGGAGCCTTATTACCTGTTAACAAATTCAGTTGGATCATCAGAGTACAACTATTTATATATATAATATTCCTAGTCATTTTTTTAGAAAAGGGCTATTATGGTTACAATTATGCAACATCGTTTCATTTTTCAATCTCATTAGGTATACCTTGTTAATTCAGCTAGGGACTTAATCAGATGACGCAAAAACTACGGAATCTAAAAGATCTATATTATTCTACTTGATTTGTTTTATTTAGATAAGATTCTGGCTCTAGTAGTTGTTGTGAAATGAGAAAAACATAGTTTAATAACGACCAGTGTTACAATTTTTTGCAAGTTTCAAGCAACAGTTCATGATGTGATATATATTTGTAATTCAGAATACTTGTTATCTTAAAATAAGTGCTACACAAAACAAATCGAAAACGTAAATTTCATAACCATCACATAACAGGCTATAAAGAAAATACAACCTTGAATTGACAAGTTTTTTATCAGTCTGGCAACAATGTGAGAAGGCAGATAGACTTTAATTTCTATATTTATGCTAATGCCAATCGAAAACAGACATATAGTGAATCACAGAAAATCAACTACACAAAACATTTTGTAAAGACTAATCGAACACATAATTTGGAGATCAAGCATATTTTCCGATAAATAAATCCAGAAATATGAAATTCTGTCAAAAAAAAGATAAAAAGAATTGAAATGATAAACCAGTGACGGGGTGTAACTACAATTAAACTGTACCTTTAAAATGATATGCTTGTTAATAATAGTAATAAAGAATACAAAACATAATGTTATTCATACGATACAAAAACTGTTCATTATTTAACATGATAAATTAATTACGCATTTTATAAGAACTAAATTAGAATCAATGGTCATGGAAGTAGTAACATGAAACCAATGATGAATTGTTTTGAAGTGTGAGATTAACAAATTTCGAAACAATATATAGAGGCGAATAAAATGTATTAAGGTTTTTTAGATAACTACAATAATTTTCAAAGTCCTACAATTCATTTCCCTTGGATAAAAATAAGATAGCAAAAAAAGGTCTCCATTAAATTCTATTGATTGCACTTTCATTTGCTTCAGAAAACTTTAGACTAAATTAGATATCTCGTTTATTTTATTCTTCATCGATAATTACAAATATGTTTTCAGTTTAATGATCTATAATATCACGTTACGTTTAGCAGAGACGAAAAACCTGTTCCAATTTCATGCAGAAATTCAGAATCATTGTGTAAGGTTTAAGCAAAGTAAAAAGGATTTACTGTTTAGATCACTAACTCTCACTTGATAGCTGATTGAAAACAGGAACTCTGATTGCCCTGAACTAGATATACATAATATGGTTCGTCGTGAATAACTTCAAGGCAACTCCCGATTAAAATATATATGACAGAGAACCATGTTACAGAGATGATTTCGAACAAATTCTCTATTTCAAGAACATGTCGACCGAAAATAATTTACTAACACAGGCTCTTAGTTACAACTAATAATAATAATGTGAACACAATTGGGAACCTAATCACTCTGTAATTGCGTTCACATTATTATTACTCTTATTACTATCCTTATCTCCTCTTACTCCATTTCCAGTCTAGTAGACATTTTATTTTTATATATAAATGCTCTTAACAAGTATGTATGTGATCAGATTGTTCGAAATGTATTGCGCTAATATATCACATAATTCTGATAATCTTCGTCATCTTATTACATTATCGAAGTTTATCAAGGGAACTAATTGCTTTAAAAATACTGTCCTTGCCTTGCCTTGTCAATCCTCACCTTCACTTCTGCATCTGATCCTCCTTGTTCATGGATGATGCTGTCCAGGTAAGTGAACGTTTCTACCTCTTCCGGGGTCTCTCCATCATGTGATTGGGTCGGTGCTCTCCATGTTGTATTTGAGGATCTCGGTTTTCCCGTTGTGTATGTTGAGGCCCACTGATGCAGAGGCTGCTGCTACACTGGTTGTCTTGACCTGGATTTGTTGGTGTGTATGCGATTGAATGGTCAGGTGATCTGCGAAGTTAAAGTCGTCTATTTGCCTGTAACCTGTCCATTCTATTCAATGCTTTCCTCAGATGTCGAGGTCTTCATAATCCAGCCAATCACCAGAAGAAAGAGGAAGGAATGTGTCTGTCAGCTGTCCTCCACATATCACTTTGCAGTGTAGTCCTTCTTATGAATTGCGGATGATTTTGGTGATCTTCTCAGCTATTAACACCAAAGTGTCGAAGAAGGTTCCACGAAAATCTATTCAGGCAACCAAATACTTTCTCATAGATAAGCAAGTTGATGTACAGTCACGAATTCAATTCAATTGATTGTTTAACGGTGATCCGTAGTGTCGCCATTCAGTCTGTGCACGACCGAGCCTCACTCAATCTGGTTTGTTGATCTCAAAGTTGTGCGTGAACTAAATCTTTCATCCAGTTCAGAAGCATTCTATTTAAAACTTGCCTGGTACCGATAGTAGTGTGTTGCTTCTGTAGTTTCCACATTTGTTCAGATCTCCTTTCTCTGGTATCTTGATAAGGTATCCTTCTTTCCAGTCTGTCGGTGATATTTGTTCTTCCTCCCAAATCTTCCCGAATAGAACAATTGCGATTATTTCTGTGTCTGACTTAAGTGCTTCAGATCGTATATTGTCAGGTCCTGCTGACATCCCACTCTTTATTTTGTCCTATGGCCAGCCTGATTTCTGCGATCGTTGGTGGTTTGACATCTACAGGAAGGTCTTTGTGTGCTGATTCGATATTTGAAGGATCCAGTTTATTCAGGAGTTCCTCGAATTATTTTTCCCATCCGTTCATCCGTTTTTGAATCTCCGTGATCGGGTTACCTTCTTTGTCCTTGACCGGTCTTTCTCGGTTACTATATTTCCCCTCTAGTTTCTTCGTCGCGTCATATAGCTGTCTCATGTTTGCTGTTGCGACGTTTTCCTTTATCGTTGCCAAATCTTCCACATATTTCTGTTTATCATCTCTAATGCTGTTTTTACTTGTTTGTTTGCTTCGGTGTATTCAGATTTTGCCTTAATCTTCTCTGTTCTTGTTCGGCTGTTGTTAATTACTGTCTTTTTCTTCGTTTCTTGAATCTTGTGCAGGATTTCCATAGAGATCCATTCCTCATCGTGATCCTTCTTGAGTCCCAGAACCTCTTGACACGGTCGTGCTCCTTTGATCCTTTTCCAGTTGTCTTCCATAATAGTTTATTCTTCTTTCAGTAGATCTTGTAGGGCTTGTAACCTGTTGTTGAGAGTTATCTTGAATCCATGGAGTTTGTCAGTATGTCGAAGGAATGCTGTATTGAACTTTTGTAATGCTGTTTGTCCAGTTATCTAGTGCTTCTCTAGCTTCAGTTTTGTCTTGGCATGGGTCCATGATATTCCCATCCTATAGGTGCATTTTGTGCTTCTTTGGATAGCATCAGAACAACTTCCTGGGTGTGTGGAGCATTTTCTTCTTTGTAACCAGAGTACAACAGCATCTCTTCCGAATATATATCTTTCTGTCCAGCTTAGGTCCAATGGGTCTCACTGATTCCTAACACAACTAAATTGTTTCTCCCCATTTCCACAGCTATTTGGTTGATATTATCGGTCTTCTACATTGTCCGGACATTTCATGTACCTATATTAATACGTTTGCTCTGGTTGTTAAAAAGGGCATCGACCTCGTGACTTCCGAAGAATCTCGGCTTTCATAATGAGGCGTCATAATTTTTCTGAATGATGACAGTGTTTAAATGGTTTGATTTGTTTATCCCGGTTAGCATTTTTTTAACAAGCTTGTTTTCTACGCGATGTGGATGCTAACCCCACACTCAACCCTCCTCTTTTGTGTGGGCTTGGGACCGGCAGTAACCCTAGAAGAACTACAGGCGGAGTTGTTTAATGTTATTACATTGATAATATGTGGAAGTTCGATTTCAATGATATAGTCTCAATACCATTCCACCTTTTATTAAGCAGTTTTCAACAATTATATGTAAATTTTAGCCTAATTAATTACAAAAGTCAAAATAAAGCCAGTAGCTTATTCATGGATAGTCACTTTTAACTTTAAATGTTCTTACTAATTCAATAAACTGTATTCGAAATTCAAATAATGTAATGAGAAAACGAAGATTATCAGAACTAGATTACATACATTAGGTACAATACATTCGCAATATATAACCAATATTTTTGCTGTACTTTCCTGAAGAAAAATCAGACAACTAGACTTTTTTGATAAAAAGTAATAAACAATAATATTTTATTTCTATAAATGATATGGTACTTCAGACCTGTTACAACAGTATGAGGACAAGGTGGACATATTTGCCATTAAACAATGTTTTCTCAATGAATTGTAACACTCGTTTCAGCAATAATTTCTTTCCAGTCCTAATTTTCCTAGTAAGTAAACAAAATTAACGAACATAATACCCCTTTCATAGAGGAACACTTAATGTTTATTGGATATCCATTCATCCAAACCAGTTATTGCATGGGCATTAAGGCAGCAGATTCCGAGAAGTCACAACTCTGAAATACTTATCATTAACTTGTATTTCAAACTTACTCTGTATAGTAATAAGGGTTTTGAATGATGTTGTGATCAAACGTTACCATCATTTGGACCACACCTGAAGATCTGGAAATATTATACACCTGTCTCGTCCTGTTGCGGGACCACTCTATTGATTCACAGTCAACATACACTAACCGGTTGACCAAAATTTGCTGTCAACCAAATTATCGAAACAGAATTATTAATCAAAGTCTTCAATCCATGGTGACGTAATGCATCGCATGACATGAATTGAATCGATGACAGTTATATGTCTCGAAACAGGTCATTTTTTTTTCAACGTAACGACCCCATGTGGGATAGAATCTTAAGCCCTCAGATGTTATGATGAACACCTAACTTCTGAACCACTGGGACTAATTTCAACAGGAAATTCGCAAAGTTATAGTGGAGTTGTGACCAGTAGAGTTTAAATATTTCAGGTGTGAGGAAGTGGTCACTCACCGAAAATAATCGAAGATGGTTAGGTAGTATCAAAAATTGATTCATTTAGATGTGTGAAATGTTGGATACCGATTCAGTAGTCTAGAGATTAAGCTAGCACCTCGAGACTTGAAGATCATGTGTTCGATCCACTGTAATGATGTAGTAAGTAATCAACTATGAGAAAGTTCGCACTTGGATAAAACAGCTATCCACTGTTTCCTGGTTTTCAGTGTAAATTTAACTTAGATTGATTCATGATCCCAGTGACGTATAAACTATTTATTTGTCTTACGTTTAATTTGTAGTAGAAAAATAATGTGACAATACTACGGTAACATTTAATTGACACTGAGTTTGATGTTCACTTCACTTCAAAACAGTTTACCATTTTCTTTTGTTCTATATCCGTTTTTTGGCATTCGATCATAAAATCAATTTGCGCAAATTATATCAAGCATGTAATCGATTGAACAGTAATATTATATATTGACGGAAAAGTAGTCACTGTGTAAAAAAATGAATATTGTATAGAAATAATACTTAACATATGATTTAGTTGTTACTGTTTACTCTATTTTCTGTTCTATGATCACTCTATGACTATTTGTGAAAAAAAAACACATACAAAGACTATTGTTCACAAATAATATGTGAACAATAAAAACAGTTTTGATTGATATTTGGATAAATTCGCTCATTTGACTGGTAACTTTTTTGGTCGAATTATCATTGAGTAACCACAAAATAGAATAACCAAGAGAAGTTGTCTCTAACCTCACTATTGAGATTTATCAACAAAATTACTAAGTGATTTATTCCTTCAGAAAGTAGGTCATTAGCCAAATTCGATAAATACAGGAATCAGATTGTAATACCTTTTATAGGTGACCAAAATATTTAACGTCTAACTTTTAAGATTAACTTAAACCCTTTATCTAAACAAGGTTCAACATTCAAACTCATTACTGAATTTAATCATAAACATTGATAATTCATTGGTTTGTTCAGCAGTTATAAATAATAATTCAATTTTATTGGAAACACTGTGAATCATGGTCAGTTATTTAAATGGTTAGACAAAGTGATACTTTGGCAATCATGTTACAGAAATTGTAAAAGTATTTAACGGGAAGATTATGAGTTATACGGATCCAATAATGAACTCAATTCACTGTAGGCAGCTCGTCAATAAAATCAATTCATCTTCAAACAAAGTGTCATACATTGGCTTCTTTTTAGTGAACTAATTACGCGCTAACTCATTAGTATATGGGGTTTAGTTGCTACCTTAATCCTAACGTTTCTAAGTAACACCGAATGGTATGGGCTGAAACACTAAATGAGTGTTTTTGAAGGCTTTTTCAATATTTCCCGATTGTACAGTAACTTTAGTTTCAGGATCAGTCCCGATATTTCTCAACAATTTATTTAAGTATCAAAGTGAGCAGATAAAATAATCTTAGTCCAGGTCTAAACTGGCTTTTGTAATAGTCTGTTCATGAATATTACACTGACTTAAAACAATTTATAGTTTAACCAGTGCTCATATTTTTAGTGTCTTTTAGATATGATAACTGATAGTTTACACGGTGGAATTTGTTGGTCTCAGCTTGTTAACTACCTTAAAATTCCAGCAAATAAATGTACAACTGAAGGATTGACTGACTCCATCAACGGCATATCGGGCGATACGAATAAATTCGCAGTGTTGTCAAGTTTGAAACGTTATTCAGTGGCTGGCGAAGATTTAGGAGGACGATTTTTAAAATTGCTACATTCTTCAAAGATATCTGAACAGAATAATGCATGTCTTCCAGTGGGAACGCCATTAGTTTGCAATTATTTGCGAGTAGCTTTGGCAGCACTTCCAAGTGTTATTGCTGCACCTTTGCTCCGTCAAGTGAATCGTCCACATGAAGTATTAGCATGGGAAAAATTGATCAAAGATGCTATCACTTCAGCAACCAATCAAATTAGCAGTAAGTATGTTTGAAGCATGTTGTACCAGGACAAATTTCTTTCATCAGCCGAAAAATCCCCTAACCTGTACAATACTGTGAACAATACTGTCTGAATTCGGAAAAGTTATTAGTATGGAGTTCCCTTTCCCTTATGACTCGGATTCGTATAAATACAAAACTGTTCAACACTATCTAGTCCCCTCTGTTTCCACAGATGACTTATCAATAAAAACTACTTTGAAACTACGATATCCTTAAATATCCTAACACAATAATAATTTTCTTCCAAGTATTTTTATGAAAAGAATATTTTATATATGTACCCCAATTATAATACTTATGGATGGTTTAATCCTGTCTATCATATTGGAATGTGTTCACTAATCTAAGTGACTTTATGTTAGAAATGCACATACTCTTGGACTTGATCGTTAAAAACTCGATAAAGTAAAAAGTGTTTGCTTTTGAAAGTAGATAACTATAACAATAGCAGATTCCAAACAAGAACCCATGTTACTGAGCACAGTTAGGTTCTTACCTAGTCACCGTAACTAAATATTTTATCCAGAAATTATATATGGGCATATGACTCGATGCCAATGTATAGAGAGGAGCGTTAAATAAAGTAGTATTTTATACCCAAAACACGATTAGAAAGATCATGCTCAGCAAACTGATTTTCATAAATTCATTCGTTGTCTAACCTACTAAAACCCACCACAAATTATTTAAGTGATTTATCATATGGAACAAACTCACCAGTATCATAAAGAAAAAAATCATAACTATCGAAATTGTGGGATTTCTTCCCCAAAAGTTTCATAAAATCTAGACCCAAAGCTTTCGATTTATTGATTTCAAACAATGTATACTGAGATATCATATAATTTATCTTGTTAACCAGATAAAATACTATGACCATCCTATGGTTTTCATCAAATAACACTGGTTTCAGAAGCTTTATAGGGGTTATACATGCATAACATACAGGAATGGATTCATTTTGGTGATTAAATCGAAACGGACAAAATGAAGAATTTGTTAAACCTTCTTGGTATTTAATGGTTTGCAAATTCTGAATGTCTTTTTTTATGTAAAAAGAATTTCTTTAATAAATAACTTTGCCACAATTGATGAATATTTTCTATTCTCCTAAAGATTTAGCCCCAATAAGTACAGTTCACTTACGTCGTCATCAAACATACTCAGCACAGCACAATCGTAGACTAGTAAAACAAGTCACCACGGAAGCTGATCTTGACTCGCCAACATATATTCGTCAGTCGACTCCTTCGAATAGACCATTTACCATGGTCTCTATGTCACCTAGCCTCTATTATACACCAAATGATTCAGTTGTGGATGAAACAAAGAAGGTTACAAACAGTTTATCTTTATCACAGAAATCATTAACCTTTTCAAACGAAGCAATTCCTGAAGAACCAATGGAAATTATCCAGTGTGCACGGAAATTCGCAGGTGTTCAATCAAGTGCTCCTTTGTGTCATGTTAAATCAAGGACTAGCAAAACACTAGATGAATTGGTAAATCACGAGAATTCTGCTAATGGTCTAGTAGACAAGTGAGACAGATTTTATTATATTCTCTGCTGAATTTGTTTAGAAATAATACTATTAAATTACTAAACTTAATGTAAGTGAACAGTAACACTAAACTATAAATTTAACTAATGTTTATGACAATTATATTAAAAATTAGTAAACAACAGTAAGAAAGGTGTGCTGAAGATAAATCTAGAACTAGTTAAGTTTCGAAACTGGAAGATAAGGAAAAACAAAACAATAGAAATGATCTGATTCATAAACTTCTATACTTCTGATATCAAAAGTATAAACGGTAAATTTACCGTTGGTATCTATACAGTTACCACTATAGATCAACTTACCGATCGATAAATAATCTACACCAATAGACTGTTCCTTATTTGTAAATTATTCGGTATTCAGATTTTGGTACCATACTGTATAAGTGTCTCAAAATAATTTCCACTATTAAATACACTACATACACTACTTACTAATGAATCTCATGTATAACTTTAAACAAGTAAATCTATGATAATACACATAAAATCACAGTAAAACGTAATAATAGAGCCAAGCAGGAAGTTATTTTTATGACCTTTAACATAAAATCCAATTGGAAATATCAATATATACAAACAGTCTTTAGGGAAATTGTCACTGAACCATGATTGTGTGGTTTGACTTCAAATAAAAACAACAATCTAAACATTCGACTTATGTGTTCCAAATTGAAAGAAACCCTAATACTACATTTTAACTACTAGCAGCAATTATAGTACTGGTGTATAAAAAAGACTTCTAGTGCTGGAGAAATAGCCAACAGGATGTCAAACGCTCATAGAACATAATGATCAGAAACCATGAGATAAAATAATTTCTAAGATAAATATTCAATTAATAGTGTATATGAATATCAGTTTTTATAAATTTTACTGAATACTGACTGAAATTTCTTGTTTCTATAAAACCAACCTCATATAACTTCGACTTGCACACCTTTCGTACAAATATGCATACACATTATTTTTTATTTTCAGTTCAATGTACAATATCCTCGGACATAAATGCAAGTTTCGAATAATAGTATTTATTATTATATTTGTGCTTTTATGTAGATTTTAGCCTAACACTAACTTCTAAAAAATACTATAAATGTCATCATCAAGCTTCAATAAATATGGTTTATTGAAAATTTCTTGGTAGATACTTATAAGTAGAGTTAGTTTACAATAAGTTTTAAACTATTATGGTACACAAATTTTACATCAAACTATCAATACTTCTTCACAGTATATGCGTATTTACAAACGTAATAATTATAGAACTTGAGGAGTGTATTTTGACCCACTGAATACAGATGGTTTCTATTGAATGCAGTCGACGCATAACCAGACCCCACTTTTATTAATTCTTAATCTAATTTCAACCAAATTTATCATCAAATTATTCCTTATGATGCTTCAAAACAAAATTATGATCAGACATCGTTATACATAATTATTAAACGAGTGCTCAGTGGCAGAGTTAGAAATATGAGTATATTTTGCAACAGAAAATCTCTTCGCTGAGATACACAAGTTTTGAATTTCTTGATCCACGCAACTGACTACTCTCATTCAATAATGAAAAATACACTTTCTGTAATCCATATAATTCCATGAGGTTATTCTGAAATTCTAACTAAAGCAAAGCTGAGTTATGAGACGATTCAATTCAGAAACGGACTATCTCCAACCATCCCCACAAAAATGATCAAATAATATGATTTAAAACCGCTATGTAATGCAACATGACAAAGAAATATGTAATATATATTTGAATCGTTAAGCACTGGACAAATCCACATTCCAACGTGAAATATAGATACCAAATGAAAGTTTCTGAACATTTTAATAGTCCGAATACAAATGAACCGAGCATCTGTTTGTCAATGCACCCATTTTGATAGATGAATTTTGGCATAGAATTTTGGTTAGTTACATTGATTTACTAGTAAAGAGACGAGTTATTATTTCATAAGGACCTTTATTTCTGAAATAAACCATTCTTTAGTTGACCGAATAAACATTTGACTCTTCTTAATAATGGAACATTACCAATTTTCAAATATAAATCACAGATTTGAAAACTGGATTCAGTACACTAGACGATTGGTTTAAAGACCTCCGGATACCCGATGAAGACCGTGCTAAAGTTAGTAACTTATTGATACTTATCCTAGTCTAATTCACATTTCCCCCAAAGATATTAATTTCATTCTTTTAGCACAGACTTTTGATGAGTATCCTCCAATGTTTAATATGGAAATGTTTTATTCGTCAGCAGAAATAAACAAACACTCATGGAGTGACTGACTATAACGCCGTCTGCATCGCAGTTTAACTTTATCTGAGATAGGACAGAAATGTCTGGCATTTTCAATCAATCATTTTTTTCGATTGAAAAAGTTCTTATAGATAAACCTGACAATTGAAAGATCCTCAGGAAATGTAGGGATTTACGGAGCGTTTAATGCACGTAAGCACAAAAACCTAGTTTAAGAATATAAAGCGAAGTTATTGAGTCCGTTTATGAATTGTATGATCCCAACGAAGTGGTTAATCACGATCTTTTGTCACGTACATGAAAAGGTAGTTTGTTATTTATCAACAAACTAACAACGGTAAATAGAACCCAAGACTACAAACGGACATGATCTCCAAAGATCAGACTGGGAAGTCAGATCTTAAGTGACTAGAAAATGAGTGACCTACAAGTTAGTTTCTTTCAACCATTTCATAGTTTATTATATTTTTTATACAAACACATCATTTTATTACTTGGAAAATCTATTCAATTGACTGGTAATAGTCTTTTTTCATATTTCTAATCGTTCAAAAACTTAAGTCAATAAATAATACGGTTTCGTGAGTCACCATCAATCAGTCACATTATATCATATCCTATCCATCGATCGATTGGCGTCCTATTCATTGATTTTGATAATTGAAAATCTCGCCCCAGCAAATCACAAAAGTACAACTTTAATAAAACCTCCGACTTGACCTCCCTCCGTGAAACAATCATTGGAAGTATGTCAAGTATCTAAAATACTTAACCACTAATATCGGTGTAGTTTACTTTCAGCCGCTAAATAGGTATGAATTCTAATCATAAAACAGTGGCGTTAAAAATTTTGAAGACAAAGAACATTGGCATTTTCAGCCAATAAAATGTAATTGCAAATCCCAGATGAAGTAGAAGCAAAAGTATCCTATAACTTCACTGTAATTCTAACAAAAAATGTGTTTCCAATAAATAACGAAATCACTAACATTTATTGTAACATAAATAAAATAATTAAATCTTTTTCAGCTTCGTCGAAATCACATTGTTGATGAAGAAGACTTCTTAGATGCTATAACGAAAGAAGACTTGTGGAAAATGAATTTAAGGTAGGTTTGGTCATGAATGTTGAAGCATGATTCTAGATGTAGTTAGTTTTAGAATTACAGTTAAAGCAATTCTATTATATCATCGTTGTGAAAACGAGGTTGAGCAGAAAATATAAGGTATATTTGAGCAAGAGATATCATGTAATCTGATCACATATATACTTGTCAAGACACACAGAAACTAACATGATCAGTCAGATGAATTGTCAAATAAGCACAGTGATAAGTGAAAATATAAGAGGAAGATGAGATGGTACACCGCCAAATGCATCAAGGATTATCAAGCTAGATTCGGGATGAGAACAAATGGTATTTGTAAACGTGAAGAAAGTTTAAATTATCTAATATCAACTTGCAAGTAACTAGACGACTTGAACTTCGCAGATCAAATGACCATTCAATCGCATACACACCAACAAATCCAGGTCAAGACAACCAGTGTAGCAGCAGCCTCTGCATCAGTGGGCCTCAACATACACAACGGGAAAACCGAGATCCTCAAATACAACATGGAGAGCACCGACCCAATCACATGATGGAGAGACCCCGGAAGAGGTAGAAACGTTCACTTACCTGGACAGCATCATCCATGAACAAGGAGGATCAGATGCAGAAGTGAAGGTGAGGATTGACAAGGCAAGGCAAGGACAGTATTTTTAAAGCAATTAGTTCCCTTGATAAACTTCGATAATGTAATAAGATGACGAAGATTATCAGAATTATGTGATATATTAGCGCAATACATTTCGAACAATCTGATCACATACATACTTGTTAAGAGCATTTATATATAAAAATAAAATGTCTACTAGACTGGAAATGGAGTAAGAAGAGATAAGGATAATAATAAGAGTAATAATAATGTGAACACAATTGGGAACCTAATCACTATGTAATTGTGTTCACATTATTATTACTCTTATTATTATCCTTATCTCTTCTTACTCCATTTCCAGTCCAGTAGACATTTTATTTTTATATATAAATGCTCTTAACAAGTATGTACGTGATCAGATTGTTCGAAATGTATTGCGCTAATATATCACATAATTCTGATAATCTTCGTCTTCTTATTACATTATCGGAAGGACAGTATTCCTACATTTGAAGAACATACAGAACTCAAAACAATTGTCAACAATCTCAAAGTCGGAGTCCTCAATACGAACGTCAAGACAGTTAGTTCTACTGTGTGGAGCTGAAACTTAGAGAACTACCACAACCATCATCAAAAGGGTACAAGGACTCATAAACAATTGTCTACACAATATACTAAATGTCCGTTGGACGGATATCGTCAGCAACAGCCTACTGTGGGAGAGAACAAACCAGCTTCGAGTTGAAGAGGAAATAAGGAAAAGATGTTGGAAGTGGATATGACATACATTACGGAAATCATCAAACTGCATCACGAGGCAAGCGCTAATTTGAAATCTTGAAGGGAAACGGAAAAGAGGAAGGCCAAAATACACACTGCGTCGGCAAATGGAAGCAGGTATCAAAAGGATGAGTATTAACTAGAAAGGATTGTGCAGGACAGGTTTGGATGGCGAGTGCTGTTGGGCGGCCTATGCTCCTCGACGAGGAGTAACAAAATTAAGTAAGTATAAGAATAACTAGGCTGTCTTTACATGAGTATGAAGAAAGAGATTGAGCTAAGTTAAAATCTAGTATTTATTGAGTTAGGAGAATCTAAAAACTTTTATGGATAATAAACAAACTATTTTACTACTGTAACTGAGTAAATGAAAGTATGATACTATTAAAAAATGTCATATAATCGTGGAATTATTTGCGATGTGCTCGTGACGAACGGCATTTGAAACACCATTCGGCAAGTAATACAGCATAAGCATGTAAAAGCAAAACAGTACTAACAACAGGCTTTACAAGTGTCCAAATTTAACTGACGGCACTTTTGTTTTCACAATCATTTCAGTGGTGGGACAGTGCTTCGCCTTTGGAGAAACATACAGAAAATCCGTTCAATGGAATAATGCCTTCATGAAAAATTTCATGAACTCTGGTTACAATTTTTCTACAGAGCCTATATTTTTACAAAGAAATTTTATCTCACACCTTGATACCAAAACCTGAAATGTGCCTTTATTTTATAGTAGTATTTTAAAACCCATAATGCTCAAATATCAAAAAAAGTTACACCGGATGCAGCTTAAAATACTGTTTTGATTTTTAATAAATGTCTTATCATTGGTAAACTATGAAAACATAATAGAAAGTCTCCCATCAAAGATGTTTTATTTAAGCAGTAAACATATATGATGTTTTATACACTGATATATTTTTAGCATTAACACATGGAAATTTAGGTTATTATTCGATTATGATTTGTTAATTGAATGGAAATATTACTAGAACGATAGCTGTAAACGAACTGCAAATCAGGGAACAAATAGTACAAAACACTAGAAAATAAACATTGAATCATTGTTATACGATGCAGAAATCAAGGGAAAACAACCTGAAACCTAAGAAAATTTCACGTCATTATTGAATATAACAATTCATGGCTATTAAACAGTACGTGTTAACGAGACAGAGTTGTGTAGTGGTTGTATTTCTTCAACATAATCCAAGCCTAAGCTCTGTTCTGAATCAACAGTTTGGTCGACTGTATCATCAGCCACCTAGAAAGAAAAAACAATGAAATATATACACGGTTGAAGACTTTGTATTGGGGTGAGATGGGATAATTCAGCAAAACAATAGGCATAGACTGATGACCAATATCAAACAATAATAAACATGAAAAATGAATTCGACACATCAACTATTCCTATAAAAAAAAGACACGAATAGGGTTAGTCTCTTGCTATCGAGAGAAGCATGATAATTTTCAGACATAGCCAATTTACCTGTAAATCTCAATTCATCTGTTAAGGTCGAAAAGTTGAATAATCAGTTTATTCTTTAGAATTAGTATATTACTGCTCCTAGTGGAGAAAATTTGCAGCTCAGGTGGATGATTTTGATGGAGTTTTATTCTCTGAGCTGGACGGTTTGGTCGTGAAGCTTCCAACCAAAACAAAGAAGTAAACAATCATAAATTTAAGGTCCATAGGAACCTATCAACATCTAGGTGTACAGAACAAGCTGTGAAACGCATATGGATAAATTCGAACACTTCACTTCCATCTGAAGTTTGTGCTGATGTCGTTCAGAAGAACGATGAAAGCTCCACGACCAAACCGTCCAGCCCAGAGAACAAAACTCCATCAAAATATTACTGCTCCACAATAAGTTTTAAGATTCAAACAATCAAATCATCTTTAGGACTTACTGTAAACATCCGCCCGCTATACAGTCAGAGACAAACCACATTCATGATCAACCGGCCAGATATTATTACTTCATTAGGTTCCGGTACACAGGTATGACACTATCCTTGACCTAGGGTATACATTCGAGATTCAGGCCAACACACACATCAAACACGATTCGGTGATTCAGAATCGATGTTGCAACATAACATCCAATTACAAGGATATGATCTATCGAACCCATAGGAAACATTTGTCATATCAGACAAGCAAAAATTTACAAAAACGCTAAAGATTCTACGTTTAGTTAAAAATCCGGCAAGAGAATCCAGTGAAATAAAGCGTTGACACTAGATGAACTTTTTTTAGGCACATTTAATAGGTATCACCCATGATTACTGTAATTTCACCAAAGCTACCATTCTAATACATTCTTTTATCAGGCTTTACATTAAAGGGAACCAATATTACTTTATACTTGATCCTGCACTGTTCCAGATGGATTGATAAATGCAAACTGTAAATGTTAGACACAGAAACAGTGTTTTATGTTCAAAATGTCCTTAATTTGGATTTTCACTAAGATTCTGCCAGTCTGTTAACTGTATAATTGAATTGGGTCAAAAAATGTGGAACTGATCTATAACAAATACGTGACGATACTTCACTGATGACAACCACATGAACTCCAGAGGACAAGAGTTTCAAAACAGATATCACACTTCAAGAAAATATAATTATATGCACAAACACCACAGTATATATGGTATTGTACAATAGAAAGCGACCAAATATAATAAGTTTGAATTACGAGACGTTGCCAAAACAAAAGGTTCACAATAATATCGAGGTATGGAAAGCTTACGGTAATAGATACTGTTATAGCAACACCAAAAGGTGTTGACCCTAAAAGATTCTCTACTAGTCAACAGGTATGAATGTGAAGGGTATTCCAGGATATACACCAGAAAGGTATTGCCTAACCACAACCACCCTCAATAAAATATCGTAAATACGTCTACCAGTTTGAAATGTTAAGTTGAAAAGTCTCCCAACACGGAAAGATAGGGATACACGCCATCGCCTCTTCGTCATATCTGCCTGCGCTCCCACTAACTACAGTCCGGATAAAGTAACAGATGGGTTTTATAGAAAGCTTTCTGCTCTCCTAAAAAACCAAACTATCGGGCGTAGTGATAACAGCAGGAGACTTTAGCGCCAAAGCACTTGGTTTAAATCGAAGTGAAAGACGCTTGCGTGGGTTTCACTGTGTCGCAGCTCAGCGAATAGGCAACGACGATCGGCTGCTGTAACTATGTTCAGACAACCATTTATTCCTATTAAGCACCATCTTTAAGCAATAAGAGACATTGTCAGCCATGGAGACCCCCGCAGTCGACTCGGCGATAGACGTAAATAGACCGTTTCGTCATCAGCCATTGTCGGAAAGGCTCGATAGAAGACCGCCGCTCATTCTGAAGAATATGTCCAGATCATGCTCTGATACTGACATATGTTTGTTTGTGACAGACTGAATGCAGAAAAACCATAGCAAGAAAACTCCTTCAAGTTCAACTTAACGACGAAAATGTCAAAAGAATATTTCATAAACAAATGGGGAAGCAGTTGGGTGATCGCCAAAGTGACCTATGTTCACCTTGATGTGGGTTGGGATGATATCCAGACAGCTGTTAAAATATCAGTGATATCTGTGGGTGACTATAACCAAAAGATTAAGGAAAATCAGTGGATTTTAGTATCATCTACTTAAATGATAGATGCTCAAAAACTCATCCCATTAGGCTTCGAATATGATGTGGAGCAAAGACAACTCAGAGTTTACGCAATGATCGTGAACAGTGATACGAGGATAAGGCAAAAGCGACAGGAAAGACGGTGGCGATATGCATCAGTTGATAACTTTTAAGATATTAAAGAAACAGGTATTAAATATTCGGGAGTCACCAGGACTATTTCTGAAAAAGATGAAACAATCATTCACTATCAACCCTGGGGACTGCGACGATGGGCAGGAGAAGTTTAACTGCTTTACATTCACCCTTCAGTTACCTGCTTTTACCAAGCAACCTAACTGGAATGTCAACATAAGCCTCCAACTCTCAAAGAAGTGGAGAAATTCAAAACTAATCTAAAAGAGACAGCAACAGGCCCTGATGGATTAGCCCCTGAGATTTTTAAGTATGGTGGCCCAGTTTCAGCAGTTAGATTGACTGAGTCCTTAGCTAGAATCTGGAGAATGAACTTGATCTCATATAACTGGTCTCAATCGCCTATCGTCCCAGTCTATAAGAAAGGAAAAAAATCCTCTAGTGACAATCACAGAAGAATCAGTTTGTTTAATACAGTGCTTAAAATATTACCCTCAACAATACTTTGACGGCTATCTAGAGCCCGTAAAGAGCGAACTCGAGAAAACCAGGTTAGTTTTAGACCTGGACATAGATGTATGGAGCAAATATCCGCGCTTGCCCAGGTTCCGGTGCACGAACATACCCACTGACTCGCAACCATAGCTACATTTCTCAACATTAAGGCAGGATTTGATTTTGTAAACCGAGAGATTTCATGACAGTGTCTGACATTGAAATATGTACCATAGAAGTACATTACATTGTACAGGCTTTCTATTCGAACACTACTGGTCGAATAAGAGTTGTCATCAGAATTTATTACTGGAAATGTTCTTCCGGGTTATCTTTTTTCCTCATTTTTATCTTCGTCACAGAAATCCTTTTAGAAGTACCTCTCTCGTCGTCTAACTTTTAGGGGTTGATATACCAGAAAATTAACTTGTTGACCTATAACACGTAGGTAATATAGTTCTATTTGATGTAGACACTGACAAAATGCAGTCTTCTGACCACCTTAAGCAACAATGCAACCATAATTAGGATGAGGTCCTCTTTCTCTGTCCAAATGTAAGATGTTACTTCAGGATTATTTATTTATTTGAACACATAAATATTGATAAAAGGAGGCACTATATATATATATTCCCAAGTCACAGGTCGAGTTTAGTGCCCAGCAATTTGCCCTGTTCTACTTTATGGGCGTCTGAACCACTGCTCATGTATTTTAGGACCATCAAGTTAGCCATCCAGAAGCTAGATGGAACACAAGATAAGGATGGCTAATTTATTGAGGGGGTAGTGAATTTTTATCGACTAAGATGGTCAAGACATCTGCTACGTATACCCAACGACCGAATACCTCAATGGGAAATGGTGATTGATGTAGAAGGTTGGAAAGAAAAGTTGGGACGTCCAAACTAAGACATGGAATCAGTTCATGAAGACACTGACTATTGGACAGGTTAGTCAGCCATATGACGAGACTGAAATTCAACAACTGCTATACACTTAGACGTCTGTGATTGTATCAGAACAGAGAAATTAACTAAGCTGATAAGTGGTGTTATTCAGGAATGTCTAATCTTGTACTCATGACAGCTGTCACAAATTTTCCATAGAAATACAGCTTTCTGTTTCGCAATTCTCATAGATTGTGAAATTACTAAGATATAATCTGACAAAGTTTCGCTAATTTAGAGAGGCAATTTAATCACTTATTTTATCTGGATGGCTACCATGGCGCAAACATAACCGAAATAAATGGTATTAGTAAATTTATGTTGATTTTATTTTTAAAGTTGCATCATTAAGTCTAATAGAAGGAACTACATTACAAAACTCAATGGAAATTTACCGTATATAACGTGTTTATTTAAAAGTGGCTGACGATTAGAGAACAAACAGTTGGACTATAAACATATTCACTGTTTCCCAATTGACGAGTAAGCAACTTTCAGTTCAGGTGGTAATTAGTTATGAATCAGCAATGACATTTATATTGCTTGGTTGGCTACAGTTTAAACGAACATGATGTTAGATAATTAGTTATTTAATTCGTTAGGATCCGTATAACACTTAAAACCGTTATGAGCTGACTACGTGAATCAGTCAAATATTTTCACGGTGGCGTAAGTACACTTTATATGCTTTATATTTGAAAATTATCATTCCACAACAATTTTTTATAAGGATGGATGAATTCGTGGAGATTGTAGAATTTTCATAGTTTGAATTACGAACTGACCTTAGGTAGACCACCACTTAAAGTCTGGAAGCACTGGACGGCCATTTCGTCCTAGTGTGAAGTTCCTCAACAGTACGAATCCACAACTTCGCATTGAGGAATCTAAGCGTTGGATACCGAATGTGATCTAGAGGTTAAGCGTTCTCATGACAGACAAATGTCCTATGGTAGTGAATGCGCACTACTGAAGAGTTCCAGACTAGAAAGAAACGGCCGTCCGGTGCTCCCAGGCTCTAAATAGTTGTTTAACTAAGATTAGTTCGTCACTTAAACTATGAAAATTATTTTCTACCTTATTAGTATACATCATCATGTTTAAAAGTACTAATCTTTTGGTATTCTAGATGAGCTTTTGTTTTGTCAGTGTGATAAAAATGAAATAATATATTACCACTTCATGTCTAACAGTATCAAGTTTTTATCTAACTTGTTGTTCTGTGATATGTATGTGTACACCCACCATCGGTGTATACACTCCCTGTCTTCCCTTAAACTAAGAGACTAAAATCACTTCATTCTTTCTGTCTACGAACTAATTCTTTCTTCCTATACTATATCCTTATTGCAACCTTTGACCTAACCACTCCTATGAATCCGGTGTTCATCTTGCTGTGCTAATGAGGTATGGCAACCTGGACCGATGCACATATGTGCCTGGTCCTACGTTGTAGCTGACTGACTGACTGACTGACTGTACACCCACCAACCACTGCATAACAATAGTTATGACGGTGAACCATTACCCTCATTAGAACAAAATAACCCTCTTTGTGGATGTATTTAGAGCTAAAAAGTCAGTTTCGATGCACTAATCGCTTAACCAACTGGGGTAATCCATTAGCTGGGTTTTTATTAACTGTTCTAATCACTTTGGTAATTCATGACACTTTAATATATCAGGTGTAAGTGGTGGAAAATATAACCGTTTTCCTTCTGCATACTTTTGTGGTCCCTTATTTTTATTACCAATGGTAATAAGCCTCCCTTTAATCTCATTTGAAGTACTGTTTCAATAAGTCTGAGAGATTGTGTTGCTAAAGTAGTACGTCAAAACTGCTGTTTTTGCCTATTACAAACCAAGATATCCATTTCCCAGTACTACAAAGTGATACCATTAAGACGTGACCTGAGTAACGGAATACAGGTTCGAGTAATATTCTTTGAATTACACTGCAAGTGGGGTAGAGATATCACCTAACAGCTTTAATAAAGTAGCGATCCTATAGCTTCGAGTCTAATTTTTAGACTTAGGAGCTAAAGTATGCAGAATGGCCTTAAACCCGCACCATAGTCATAATGGACAAAGTGGATAAAGTAAGTGGTAGCTCTAGTGACAGAGAACGACTTACATTTTAGGATAGTAAGTAAAATTTAACTACCGACTTTAAAATAAAATCACTTACTGACTCTTCGGCTCTTAACACTTCTTCAATATCATCATCATCATCATCAACATCTGATTTGTCGTCATTTAAAGACGACTGTTTTTTCACTGGTGCAAACACTCTGACAATGGATGGTGAACTCCCTCCTGAATTCGCCCTTCCGGGGGATTCGACCTTCGCAACATTATTCAAAGCTGGAGAATTCGGTGTTAAAGGTCGCGGAGAATCTGTAGACCCAATTACAGATGTACGCATTTGCGTTCTGCTGCTGTTATTAGTGACTATTTCTTGAAGGCGAGTTTCCTGGGAAGTGTTTATAGTTTCTTTAACTTTTGACGAACCATTAACGTCGCGATTTGGAGTGTTGAGTGTTTCATCTGATACCTGGGATCCAAAACTAGTAAAATCAAATAAAACAAAATTAATCTAAATTTTAATTAAAACAAAACATACGTTATAAACTAGGAATATTTCATACACGCTGATATAACTAAAATAGTCAACTAGTTTATCTATTTGGTAAACAATCTAATAGAGTATTCTGTATGCGGTAGGACTATGTTACGATGATCTAACTTTTATTTAATATGAGACTTATTCGAAACCTGTTCAATCAATCTTCACTAGTAAAAGTCAAAAAGTATTTCAAGGGTGAACATAATAAATGAAGGTGAAAGCCTAATACACAGGCATATACATGATTAGTAAGTTAGATACTATAAATATTTTATACTATATAGTTAATTAACCTCAGTAGAATCCAGTTCAAACAGTGTGAGAGATTCTTACTATTTCTATTATAAATATCACTTTTAAATATAGTATGTTTGCAACAGTCTTTTTCATTGATTTACCACTGGCAATGAAAAAAGTTTCTTCTTAATACGCTAGAATGTGAAATAGCTTTGTAGTGAGATGTCTCATTTCTAAGTTTTCAAACACCAATTGGTTTATAAATAAAATAATGTATTTGTAACATCCCAATGAGTAGAAAAATTAGATTTCCTGACGTTTCGTGACTCAGCGTAAGTTACTTCTTCAGAGAATAAATAACCAAATCACACTGACCAAAAAGTACTAAACACCATATTACATAAATATTTTAGATATGTTGAACTGAAGTATGACCGTTGAGCTTAAGTACTTTATCATCATTTTTGAGGTTACAGGTCTGTAAGAATTTTTACCAGTAGAATCTGACATCACACACTCCAAGAGATAGGAAGTGAAACCCAATATGCAAACATTTATGTTTACGACTTTCAAAATAGAGACATGAAAATGAATAAAACAACAAAGACTGAGAGAAGGGACTGTGTAGTAGAGAAACTTGTGATAAATTCAAAACATTCTGTTTTTCGCTTTAAGCTGTGGTGATGAACATGTATCTTTTGAACTTGAAGAAAAAAAATCCTTAGTTAAACTCAGACTGAACGAAGAGGAAGTCCTGACTTAAGGACGTTAGGTGGTGTTTGATTAATCAAACTCAGACTCCCAAAAACCTATACTACATACAGCAGCTGCACAGCACAACACATTCAAGCCAAACTTATATTACATATTAATGGTTATCCGTTACGATATGTCTTCTGAAATATAACTCGACGGTAAAAATTAAGTACAAATGATTAATTACTTTTAATTCAGCTAAGTACTATTTTATTAGGATAAACGATCAAATAGTAATAGCTTTGAATAATCCATACAAGCATATAAGCAAAGCACAAAAACTAAAACAATCATGCTACCATGAAGGCATGAAGCAACCGCGGACGTGTAAAATAGCAAGGAATAGAAAAAGGCTTATTGAAGCACGTACATGCAGAAGATTGAAAACTTGATATAAACAGTTAAAACTGATAGTTAATTGAATCTAGTCAACACAATTACTGGATATACTCATTATACAAACTAATAACACTAAATATCGCAAAGCCTTCTGTGAATCTAGCAGTTCATACTCTAAGGATATTGAGAATTTAGCATTATTGCAGTCCTACGTAAAGATATATTGGTTCATTAAAAATATTTTAGTCAGAAGACTGAGGAATACTGTTAACAAACCATAGATGATAATACATGAAAATCTCATATGACCTCTAAACCTTATCTACAGTAAAAAAAAATACTCACAAACTTTTTAGGCAGAAAGGTATTTATGCATGTAACTTTCAGGTAGAATTATGCGTGCAGGAAATAGTGCTTTCACAATGGAAAAAGAAAGATTAACGTAATAAAACTAGGTTAAGCAGGAATAGGATGGGATTATTAAATGCTACAATGTAATGCATTTCGTATAGAAACGAAACAAGCACTTGTTCATAATAATGATAATACCTCGTTTTACGACTCTGTAAGACAGGTATTCTGCTTGACCTAAAATAAGAAACAAACAAAGTTTATATGAACGGAAAAAAATTACCGACACCAAAAATTACCAATAATACAGTTCCCTGAGAACTTACTTATTACGTGAATTATTTGATGCTGAAGTAGATGAATCTGAAAGCAGGAACAAGAAGACAATAAAAGGAACGAAACAAACACTGAAAACGTCAACAGTAGTAGAATTTTTACTCAAAAGGAAGAGGTTAGTCACAAGTTAGTGCATATGACTAAAAGATGACTTGACGCTTAAAGTAGAAAACTCATTTGGCAAGTGCAATCTCTTAACGTTAACTGATCCGTTTATTGACGGTTTCATTTACATTTTACTTCAGTAAAAGTCACACCATTAAGAATCAGTTTAGCTATTAATCTTCACACTTACTGGTTAAATATTATTCTAAATGCATATTACCACTATTTGTCCTCACAAACAGGTAGTTTCGACTAGGGTAAGCACCAGTAGGTTAAGTCGTACAGTCGATAATACTAAGGTGTGCAGACAGTTTTCACGGGTAACAAGCATCTCACTTTGTCGTCGGCGTACTTTTAGAGATAACAGTTTCCTCGTCTAGATTTCCAGGGGTTGAACTTTTACCGGGAGATTCACTTGTTGACTTAGAACATGCTGATTACATAGTTTTATTTGGTGAAGACGCTGACAAAATGCAGTCTTATGACCACTCTAAGCAACAATGCAAGCATGTTCGGGATGCGGTTCTCCCCCTCGAAATGCAAAATGTTGCTTCAGGATTGGGTTGCATCGACACCCGAACGAATGAAAGGGAGTGAAGTAATTGAACGTGCCGATCACTTCACTTATCTTGGAAGTCTCATCAGCCCTTGTGGTCTGGTGTGTGACGAAATCTCAACACGGAAACAGAAGGCTCGACTAGCTTTTGCCAACTTGCGTCATTTATGGCGTAGGCGAGATATCCGTCTATCAACCAAAGGACGGGTTTACTGCGCAGCAGTTCGTTCCGTCCTACTTTATGGCAGTGAAACATGGCCATTAAGAGTAGAGGATATCCATGGGTTACTAGTATTTGATCATAGGTGTCTTCGAAACATTGCTCGTATAGCCTGGGACCATCGAGTAAGTAACACAGTTGTTAGGAAACGGGTACTAGGTGAGGATGGCAAATCAATTGATGAAGCAGTGAAAATTCATCAGTTGAGATGGCTGGGACATGTGTTACGAATGCTCAACCACCGACTTCCTCGACGTGCTATGTTCAGTGGTATAGGAGTAGGTTGGAAGAAAGCTAGGGGCGGCCAGACCAAAACATGGCACAAGTCCATGAAGTCACTGACAAGTGGACTGAGTCATGTTGGTAGGTGTAGACTACCTGGTTGGGATCCGCGAGATGATAGCAACCGATGGTTAGAGACCTTGAGTGACATGGCTCAAAATCGTTTGCAATGGCGCAGGTGCATCCGCTCTTTGTGTTCTCCCGAATTCTAAACTCCTGAATCCTCCTTGTTTCATTGTTCTCTTCCCGAACTTATTTCACTGGATTATACTCCTTGAATAACATCTTCAGGCCCTAATGTTTCTGATTACAGCTTATAATTTTACTACATCTAGCACTACGGGATTTGAATCGACCACTGCATCTGTGTGCTAATTTGGTGTGGCAACTCGAACTGATGTACGTACGTACGAAGTTCTACGTTGTTACTGACTGACTGACATGCTCCTTTACCACAGATGAATGGAGTGGTTAGAAAGGGTAGTCTTTTAAAATAGCAAACAATGCTTTTCCAACGATAAATTACGAGGAACAAACAACAAGGACAACTCACTGACCGACTGACTCACAAAAACGTCGTGTGATTGGTACCAAACAGTTTCCCACTTCACATTTATGGTATCACTATGTGCTCTTTATTCCCGGTTTTTACTTGATTAGAACCTTTTACTTTCGGTTATTAAACGTAATAATTGCTATCATTCCTATGCTGTTGACTTGTTCTGTAAAACAGGGTATGGGTGATCAGGTAGGTATTCCCTAGCGAAGGTGTGTGCAAAAGAGTGCACATCAATAAGGCGAGAATTAATAAGAGCTAGCACTAAAAGGATAATCTAATGGTGTAACGTAGATATTATTTACACAGATGCCTTAGAAATATTGCTCGCATTTGCTGGGATCACCGGGTAAGTAATAGTGAGGTTAGACGCAGGGCTTTGGGAATGATAGTAAGTCAGCTGATGAGGTTGTGAATCTTCATCGACTGAATTAACTACTTTTATGAATCCGGTGTCCATCTTGTGTTAATGAGGTATGGCAACTTGGACCAATGCATATATGTGCCTGGTCCTACGTTGTAGCTGACTGACTGACTAACTGATAAACTTTTACAACAGACTAATACGCTTAAACATGTAAATTCAAGTTTAATGTACTTCCATGTAAATAGTCTAGTATTGCTGTTGCCTTCTGTTACCTTTAGATATGCTGTTATTACACCACTAGGATGGATTGTCCAATTTTCAATCCATTTATTCTGTTCCTGTTTTAGACCGTCAATGAAAATGCCGCAGCCACTATATGATGTATCATTTCGCTTGGTGAAAATGTCGGTAATTTATCCTGCCGATTATTCGCGTATTTAACTTAATTTTACATGGACAATTGCACACTATTAACCTAGTCTACTGTATGACATTACGCAGTCTTGATATGCTGTTTTGATGATTAATTTTACGCGAGTACCTCCAATTAATCGCCATATTTCTATACACCCTTATTAGAATACATCAGTTCAATCAAGATGTACAATGGAACTTCTCGTAAAGGAACTACAAGGGAATGCCACGATGAAACCGTAACAAGTAAGGTGCCGTAGTAAATTAGTCTATCTTACGAATCTATCGCATGAAATAAACGATGTTTACGCGTACATTTTCTTACCCGTTTCATCCATTTTCTGGCTCCGGAGATGTCTAAGTGTTTCAATCAAGTTCAGCAGCACTGGAGAGCTGCTTGGACTGCGTTCAGTAGGTAGAACGGCCATCAACTTATCTCGATCAAAAAGTTCTAGATGTTTCTACAAGCTAAATATCATAAACAACACCAAACCATTTGCGCTTCGTCCATTAGGACATTTAACGTATTTTCAAGTTTCATCATATTCATAAAATCCACCAATAGGGACGCAATGATCAAGCCTTGCTAAAAATGAGTGAGATATGGAGTGGGTATACTATACCATCTTCTGTAGACCATAAGGACCGAATGGACTGATTTGAAAGCGGTATTCCTTCGGCATAGTTGTGCTTTTCCAGAGCTAAGTACACTGCTGCCTTTAGCTGAGCCTAGTAACGAAACGTTATCAACATTACACAGGTACTTCAAGCTTTGGTAAAATACCCTCTTCGTTTAGGGACCTGATGAGAGCCTCCTTCAAATTGATTTCTTCATCTCCCATCTTATCAAGAGCATACATGAGAAACAAAATATCTGAGGTGATTTCGTATCGCGTCCACAAGTAATATGCTTGGAGGTGAGCAATCTAGAAGGTAAAACACGGAGGCCATTGTTAATTAAAGCTTAACTAGTCAACTGAAACACATATATTTGGTGCATGAAAATGCTTCTCATTTGATTCCATAAGTGTTATGTAATTTACTGGATGGAATGGAAGTTCAGTCCTGACAAACTGAGACGGTAACGTGACCATTTGAGAAGAGTGATCATCAAATAATTGAGATTTAAACCACACAATCACATATAACAAGTTTTAGACGCAGCAGCTTTTAATCAATTCGAAAAAATATGATGAGCACGCGATCAGTTGAGTAGTAAACACATCGTTCTTTCGAAAGTTCCAGCGACACGCTATGTAGAGATGGATGTTTAAAAACTTTTATACAGAAAGATATCACTTAACTCTGAGCACAGTGCTTCGAGTTTATTTCATAACCACGCCTCGTGAACTGACATCTTCCGAACAAAGTGTTGAAATCCCCTATTACTGACACACAGTAAACTTATGACGACCATTAAGAACCGAAGGAAATTTACCAAATTTGTAAATGCTTACAGTCAAAGGGACAGGCCAACTTAGCAAACGACAACGCTCAACCTATTTATTCGTTGTGAAGGTCAACAAGGAGAAGATGCATGGCGCCGTCTCAAATTTCAAAAGACAGACGGTTCATTGACTTACATTAATCCTTGGGATTCGTACTGCGCTGAAGATTCAATCAAACTTAACTTACGAGTAGAAAGGGGATGGTTTTACTTATTTTAATAGTGTTTAACTGTTCACCGCGCGCTGTTCAAGAGGAACAGTGATATTTTTCCTCTGAGTAATTTTTATAGTACTGATCGTTAAATTAGGCATGAAGACTACTGTTTTTGCTTTAATTGAATCTTTTGGTCGAAGTAATTCTCAAGAGTACCGCTTCTTCTCTAGTTCAGCTTGTCATTTGTACTCAACGAGTACAGATACATAAGATACGAAGGGCACTGGTACTCATTCTTCGTCGCTGAATATATCTTTGAGCATTGTTTGTATCCATAGGCGTGAAGGTCTTTCTGTTACTACTGAGGTCCAATTTTTTACTGTTTTTTTTATTTTATTTATATATAAACATAAAACAAGTCTATGGCGCAATTGAAACGTCATTGTGGTAGACCAGCATGCTATTTCCCGGTCGATGAGGAGATGAAATGTGATAACGTCAATAAGTGGTATCAAAATGTGTGCACCGGACTCACACCGGCTGCATGTAAATGGTGCTGTAAGCCATTACCACGTTGGTTGTGTGAAGAATGTTGTTCTACTATATCTCTACTAATTCTAGAGGCGGTCGAGCTGTTAAACATAGCTAGGAAATTGATAGACAGGCAGCAGTAGATAAACAGAACCCTGTTTTCGAGGAAATTTAGAGCGTTATTATGAGCCCAGCTTTAGGTGGACCTCCTCAAGGAAGCAGAGGAGCTTATGGATGTAGGCATTGTTACAAGGAGAAAGAAGGAGCTCACGGTCACGTCAAGGAAAAGAAAAGTAAGAAAACAGAATATAATCTCTGCGTTTGACGCTGAATTAAAATCGGATTGCAAGGAAGAGACGGCTTCAGGAAATAAAATTCCACACTGTGTCAAGACGGACCTCGCTGAGTGGTCACTAATTTTTCATAAGTTAAGAGAATCTTCCGATAAGGAACCAAAGGCTAGATTTGAACACGATCATTTTAAGTCCTTAATAAGCAAGCTATTCCCAGAAGCAGTTTCAAATGCCAGTATCTGTAAGCTTTATAAAATAGGACAAAAGTGGATTCTGAAACTGGATTGATCCGGAATATACTTCCGTGAGGATCTCAGCCTAGCTGATCGTATTAAGAGACGGGCTACAGAAGCGGAAATAAATGAGCGTCGCCGAAATGGTGAAGTCAACCTTTTTCCTAAGGGTTTTCAAATTGTCAAAGATCGGAGCAAAACGATCCCCAAACCACTCTGGGTGGTAGGGGAAAGTTCCTTACAAATTAAAGGTATGCTACACAAATCCTCGCAGCCTACTAAATAAACAGGTGGAGCTCAAGACAATGATGGATAAAGGTAAACCAGATGTTATTCCTGCCTCAGAAACATGGTTAACGTCAAAAGTATTAGACAATGAAATTCAGTTGACTGGTTTTTTATCCAGTAGGGCTGATAGATTAAACCGTAGGGAGGTGGTGTTATCCTGTAGACGCAAGGCACCCTAACCATACCAACAGTTGCGACAGTGGCACATGATTCAAGAACATGTGAGCTGGTGCGATGCAAGCTGAAATTTAGACAGAAAGATATTGAATTAATTGTAGTATATCGCGGTACAGAATGTGTAGTGGATGATTTCCTACTAAGCAAACATAAGTCCTGATGTAAGAGGGATAAAAGCCTTATAGTAGGTGATTTTAATGCACCATATATAAACTGGGTTAATTTAGAGATCAGGTCATCGATAACGTAATTCTATTGCAAACTGTTAAAAACCTCGATTGCATTAGTTTCATTCCAAAACATTAGAAATCCCACAAGAAATGACATAAGAAGTTCCTCTTCTTTTTTGGATTCAGTCTTCTTACACCGTGATGACGTCGGTCAAATGACTTTTCTCCCACCATTCGGGAGAAGTGACCATGAAGTCATATTATTCAAATTCATGGCTGAGATTGCCTGTCAAAGTGTTGCGCCGGCACGTCCCATTATATGGAAAGCAGATATGGAGGCAATCAACTCCTCAGCATCGGGTGAAAACTGAGAAATTGACTCAAGGGCTTCAGTACAAGAGGCATGGACTTATTGTAGGCAGTTGTACAATCGGGTAACTCAACCATACATACCCTGGATAGTTCCAAAGAAAAAGAAGCACGCCCATACCTGGATAGGCCGTGATATTCGACGTTTACTAAGACAAAAGAAGAAATGTTGGGATGCTGCCATCCGCCTCGGCACACTAAATACAATGGAACGTTGCAGACCGATGTATAATTAAAGCGTATAATTAAAGTTCGAGAAGCTCAACAAAAACCATGAAATGCAGTCGGCACAATCTGCACTCAAACAGCCTAAGAGGATATATTCGTACATAAACTACAGGACAAGGGTGCATCATTGGATTCTCAACCTAATTAAAGAAGGGAGTGAATCTAAAATGATAGAGGAAAATCAGGAAAAAGAAGAGGCTATTACAAACTATTTTTGGGCAGCTTTCACTCAGCAACCTCCTCGAGAGAAAGAACACGACCAAAATAAACAGTCAACAAACCACCTGCTCACCGTGGACTTCCACCAAAACGATGTGCTTAAGGCTGTTAGCACTTAAAACATGAAGAAGTCAACAGGACCAGATGAACTACACTCCCAAAATCTTGACACATATTGCGCAATAAACCGCGGCCCCGATGAATGTGATATTCAACATGTCACTTGACCAAGGTGTGTTACCTATGGACTGGAAGGACGCAACCGTCACTCCCATACATAAAACAGGGCCAAAACAACTTCCATCGAACTGCATACTCGTAAGCCTCATCAGTTTTGTAGTTAAAATATTGTAAAGAATAGTCAAAAAGACCATAATGACATTTGTAGAGAACAATAACCCGTTAAAAAGCGATCATGGTTTTAGAAAAGGCTTGTCTTGTACTACGAACCTCCTTATATCAAGGGAATATTGAATAAAGGTGCCAGACAACGGAAACGCAATGAATATTGTCTACATAGACTTCAGTAAGGCTTCTGAAAAAGTGCCAACTAAAGGAGTGCTATTGAAGCTGGAAAACCTTCATATTGCCAGACCCCTCTTAAAATGGATTAAGGATTTCCTAGAAGGTCGTTGACAGAAAGTAAGAATACATCCCAAGTGCTCCATCTGGAGACCAGTACTTAGTGAAGTACCTCAAGGTTCCGTCATAGGTTCTTTACATTTAATGCTGCATATAAATGATCTCCCAAGTATAGTACAGTCTCCGGGGTTATTATACGCTGACGATGTAAAAATTTGGCGAGTAATAACTGGAGCCACAGGCGCATGTGCTCTTCAGGTACGCTTAAATAATATGATAAACTGGTCTAAAGAGTGGCTGACGCCAATCAACGCGGAAAAGTGTGTCTACATACACTTGAGAGACTCAAAGGTTAATAAGTACAACATAGGGGATGTGTCATTACCCGTAGTCCAGTCTCATAAGGATCTAGGGGTGACAGTGAGTAATGATCCTAAAACGACAGCCCATTGCCAGGAGGTCGCAGCTAAGAGGTTTCGAACCCTCTGGGCTTTAAAAAGGAAATTCATTAAGTTAGATACTACCATGTTCACCACAGTATACACACCCTTAGTGAGAACTAAGCTAGAGAACTGCGCTCAGGCTGCAAGCCCCTGCCCAAAAGGTGACTCGGACATACTAGAAAAAGTACAGAGGACAGCTTCCCGTGCAATTCCGGAACTCCGGGGTTTATCATACAAAGAGCGGCATGAGAAACTGGACCTCTTTACTCTGTCCTATCGCAGACTAATGGGAGATCTAATTTTGATGTACAGAATACTGAGAAATGATTTCGGACCTAACTTATTCTCTATTTTTCTTCCCATTAGATTGAGACATCTCAGAGGATATTGCAGGCGAGTAGAAGAGCCAAGAACGAACAAAATACCCGTGTCATACAGGTTTCCACACTGAGTTATCAATACTTGGAATCTGTTACCCGAGGCAGTGATGTCCCTACTTTCAGTTGACTCATTCTAGAGAAGAGTGGACACCCACAGAAACATACTAGAAAAGGAATAACATAGGCCGTAGGCCTTCTGTCCTTACTATACAAGTCCGAATCTGAACTCGGTGGAAAATCCAGACGTTCAAGTGAACGTAAACGAAACGGAAGAAACTTAAGCCTACAAAATTTCCATTTCTAGCGGCATTACTTCACCGATACCTTCAGAAAGGGACCCAGATATGTGAAACGAGCGGAAGAAAAGTATTAGTAAATTAGTATGATATGATGTTTATAGACAATAATATATCACGCTCCCTTTTTGAAAGACTCGGGTGTTTCTTAGACTATATTAGCAGATAGCAACTTACAGGAATTCAGTGCTTGCGGTGAGTACAATTTGTGACTATAATTCAACTTACTGGTCGGTATACCTAATTCGAGTGACTCGCCTTTTGATAAGCACTAGAGTTCTGTTGTTTTTCTGTAAGGGAGGCGGGAACGATGTAGTACCATACTCTTAATAGGATGAATGAGGCGGTTAGAAATTACATCGGAGGTTGATTTCTATACAGTTAACCAAAAGTGCTCTTCGTATTTACCATTGAAGTGCTTAACTTAAAGACACTCCTTTTCAAATTTGTCTTCGGATTTAAGACCATTAGGTACGCGAACACCTAGATCTTCAACTACTGATCCTTCATAAGGGAAACTACCTAATTTATATGTATAATTTGCTATATGTCTCAGACAGACTATGTTGCACTTGAAAATGGTAAAATTAAATCCATTGTTCGCTGCTCATTTCTGAAACTGAGTAAGATTCTTCTGAACAACTAACCGATCATTCCAGTTGCACATTTTCCTCCGCGGCTAGACATGATCACCATAAAGTCATAAGACATGGAATGCTTGTTAAAAAGTGTCGTTCTTAAAGCTTCCACAAGCTAGAGGTCCTAA